GATCGTGACACCAACTCTGAGATCATCTCAATGTACGGGTCTGAAGACCCAACATCTTCCCTTTCGAGCTCGCTGTCACCAAGAATCGACGGCGCGTGCCAGCGCTCCTACTCTTTGACTACTTGTGGCTCTCGTCACCAGTCCAGCCAGAAATCTTCTGGTACTATGCAGAGCCGGTCGAGCAGCGGCATTCTGCAACGCCCTCGTTCCCCGTTCCCCTATCCAACTCGACTGAAACGCCTTGGGATGCGGCCATCTTCGCCTGCCCTCACGGAGAATGGACTTGTTGACTACAGTAGGATGGTCGAAATAGATCGAATCTCATATGTAAGTACTATCCGATCTATGCCCTGATATATAAAAAGATTGACGTCTATTGCAAGAGAACTGTGCATGGCTCGTACAAGCCAACCTTTCCACAACCGCAGCGACTTGCCCCACCTCTTGCCTTCAGCCCTAATGGTAACCAGTCGATGCTGCCTTTGCCGTATCCTAGATCTCTTGCCTCGCCCACCGGATCTATTGCTCGAGGCCGTGGTTATAGCTACTGGAGCAATGGATCCCTAAACAGAGAACGTCGACCTTCTGCAGACCAAAGTGTGAGATCTTCAAGCCTCACGTCAGTCATTGAGATGTACTGCAGACTACCCTCAGGCTCAGAACCGAACCTTCAACGCACAGTTCGTCCGGCTGGGTCATTTTATTACGACTATACCGAGGGTTTCGAAAACTCGTTTTCTCAAGCTGATTGCTTGGAACCTAGAGCAGTATCTCCGTTGGCTCCAATACCACAGCGAGCCTCGAGCCTTGTCAAAGCTTTGGTACTTCGAGACGAGAAAAAGGCCCATCTTGATGCAGTGATGGACATATCCGTCAAAGACTCAAGCGACTCTTCTGGAGATTACGGTCAACTTCCAGGATCAAAATATGTCAACGACATTGACACACTGCCCTCTCAGCGAATGAACTGCAAGACTGCACCCCCAACACTTGAGCCTTTCACTTTTGAGGTTGACGGGACCTCGGCTTCTCGCCCCGCAGACTTTGGTATCGCCCCAGTCTTGGCCGAGGCACTCTCATCTTGCGTTGAGGCCGAGATGGTACAACCATCTCTTACAGTGCAAGAAGTTTCAACTTACATGCACTGCAAGACAGTCGACGCTGGAGCACCGGCGGACAAAGAACAGCCAAAACCCAAAATGGAGGTCCTAAAAGCCAGAACTGACCAGCCCCCTCTAAGCAAGGTTACAGATCGACAATCAAACAACGGTAGTCTAGGACAACCAGAGCTTCTGGAAGACACTCTTCCACGCCACGATGAAATAATGAAGGTTGGAGGTAACTTGACGGCCAAGGAGCATTCATCACGAACGGCGTCATCTCGCAGCGGTCTCGCTGCAGTGCTGCGATCGAGTTTGAGACATTCCGTTGACCCTGGGCTTTCTGACCTAGCTGCTCTGGTTTCGTCCTTTGAGCATATCGCTAAACCGCCTTTCATTAAAAAGGATAAACAGATTTCTGGGGTACCCGAGACCGCCGATCAGGCTAACTTACAACGTCCACGACAGTCAGGAGTTGATCCTTTGGCAGTTGATTTCGCCACTGACGACGGAGCAATTGCCAATGCCGAAAAGCATCCAGTATCTGGGCCAAAGAAATCTTTTCACAAAGGCCACAGAAGGAATAGAGCACTCGCCAATATCAGAACGGCAAGTCTTCAGGCTCGGAGGACTGCGTCAGTCAGCAGCGTAGGGTTGCCTCTTCCCGCCACTGGGTTTGCTTATGCAACTGCTGCGTTGAGAGTGAGTACTAGCAACCCGTATTTGATGAAGGCATTGCCTGTACTGCCCAATAACACACTCACACCGGCTCAAGAACTGTCGAAGGGGTCCGCAGAAGATTTGGGGTTCCCGGTCAAATTTTCGCCTTTCCAGCTCGAATTGCTTGCAACTCCTCGATCAAGTCCTACGATCACTGCACAGAAAAATGTGGAAGATCATGAGTCTTTCAGAGCCAGTATTGAGCTGGAAGTGGCCCCAGCCGATAGTGCACAAGCCTTTACAAAGTGCCCATCAACGGTGGGGGGGATGGCACAGGTGGAAGACGTGGCAGGCCAGTCACACGAGAAATCAACGGGTCAAAGTCAAGGTCTTAATGGGGAGTTGAGCCCAACGAAGCGGCGACTTCGCCTCAGAGCAACCCGCCCTGGGGCCAAACCGGAGACTGCGTTCTTCCATGAGATCGACAACGGCACGGTGAGAAGGTATTCTAGGCTTGAGAAAAGCACACTTATGGAATTGCCGAGCCTAGGGGCGGGGGATTTGCTTACCCCAGTACGATGTGGGAGACGTCAAAGCAGCGCAGTTCATCGGAGACGAGGCAGACAGATCGCTTCAAGTCTGCCAGACGGACGACAATGTGATGGTGTTACACATCTAGCCCGTCGTCCACCTACAGGAAGGGTATCCAGAGACAAATACCTTCACGAAAGCGACATACCTCTGGCGCACCCTGTCGACGCGAACCTTGTAAGGCACAGTACCTCGACTTATGGGTTTGATCTGAGTGATTCGCGAAGCTTCCGTTCAGAACATACTTTCATTCGCCCGCGAATTCTCAGGAAGAAGCTGTCTAACTTGAAGATCCGCCTCACCAAATCACGCTTGAACCTTCGAGATCATGCGGGCAGAAACATTGAGCGGCGACCCCGGCAAATAATGACTGTCGGCTCGGGCAATTCCGATGACACAGTTCTCCGTGACCATCGGCCTACCGTTCCGCCCAATCAGTCGAAACGGATGGGTAGGAAGATGAGGTTATGGTTCCGACGAGCCGTTCGTATTTGTGTCAAGGGCCGGCAGGGCGAGAGCAAACCCGTTTCCTAGATTTCGGGAAACTTTGATCATACGGTCATGTTCACAGTTATTGGGTGTTTTCCTTGCTTGGCTCTCAAGTACTCGCGTTTCTTGAAAATGGGCTTGTTGCTAGGCTTTTGGAGGGGTAGAAAGGTCGGCATCGTTTAAGTCGAGTCTAGCTATGTTGTCCATTCGGGTGGGATGTAATGACTAAGGGGTGACTTGTTGAGTACGAAGAAAGAAGGGGCCACAAAGTGGCTTGTCAGTAGCGAGGACATACGATAGACTGTGGTATCAATAGGACGCGATCCAAGAAAAGACTTTACGCTGTACCTGGGACACAGGACGCCAACGAAAAGAGGCTTGCATTGTTTTCACCTTTGTAGATTTGTTGACGGCCCGTTTTGAATGTGCATGACGGCAGGGCTGCATGCCCACGAAGGTTCTCCTTCATCCACGCCATGAAAGCCTAGCATTGAGACTGCTTTTCCTCAAAAACTAGCCGGATTTTCCTATGATCTTGTTCTCACCAGGGTTTCTTCTCTTGATTTGCCTCTTGGTGCGAAAGTTATTGCCCTTTCCTTACATTCGTTATATTTTCAAACAACGTTCGTTCAACCAACACTCGCTCCAAACGTACTCGGGACCTCATTCCAACATTCGTTTTAAATACTCAGAGAAGAATCAATTGTTTTTCTTTTGTTTACGGCGACCTCCATCACAACCATCATACAGCGTCGGAAGCCCATCTGTTCTCCCCTTCCCTTTCCATTTTTCGTGCGAAATGATTGATGATTTCAGCTCGTACGACATGAGCGACATCTTTTCCCCTCTGGAAGGGCTCCCGTCCATCATCCGGCTCTCGTCCTTCTTCGGAGACGCGCCGTCCTTCTTCCTGCTGACGGGGACGACGGACGGCAGCAAGGGAAAGCCGGGGGCGATGGAAAAAGGCGACGAGAGCCCGAGGGGGCGCAAGGACAGCGTCATGATGGGGGTGTACGGATCGGGATCCGGGTCGTCGGCGTCGGCGTCGGCTTCGGCGTCGGCGTCTTCGGTGGCGTCGTGCAAGAAGCCTGCGGTGACGGTCCGGAAGCGGGTCCTTGGCGTCGACGAGAAGGGAGAGAGCAGCTGCTCTGCGAAAGGAGTCCTCAGCCCTTGTGACGGCAGCAGGGACGACAAGCACAAGATCAAGGACGAAGATGGCGACGAGGTCACAAGGGAGAAGACCCCGGGCTCTGCAGTACCCCGACGCAGCCGCTTCGTCGAGGACCTCGAAGGCCTGCGGGCCGAGGCGGTGGGCAGGACACCCGCCGAGGTGTGCCAGCAGATCTGCCTGCCCGAAGCGGCGGGAATGGCTGCCAAAGGCGCCGGGTCGGTCAAGCTACATTTTCCACCCGCCGTCGCTATCCCCGTCCCGCCGCCGAAGAAGGAGCTGCCGCGGCCGGCTCTCAAAGAAGGCCGTCCACCCCTGTCCACGACATCGTCTCCCGGGCGGTTGTGCCACCACGACGGCGCATGTGTACGGAAGAAGGGGCGGCGCAGGAGGAAATTTGCCCAGGCCGTCGTGCGGCTGGCCACGAAGCCGGCCCGGTGGCGCAGGGAGGACAAGGGGAAGAGGCGGGCCGCGTGCGAGGTCTGCGGCGACGATGCGCCGCCGGACCTGCGGAGCGGCTGGGAGCAGGGGCAGGACGGGGTCGCCCCGGGGTCCGACGGCGATTCGGGCGCCGCGGACGAGGTCGCCGAGTTGCTGAGCCTACTGTACGACAAGGACGAGACCAAGAGCAGCCGGCGGTGTAGTGGCTGCGGCCAGAAGGTCGGCGAGGAGCTGATGTGGGAGGGTGACGAGGACGCTCGGATGAAGATGAGCGACGGGACCACACTCGGCTTGAAGGAGGAGGCGGCGAACCAGGACTCTAAAGATGTTGCAGCTAGTCTCATGGAGATGCCGGAGGCGTGGTGGACGAGACAGTTCGGCTGTAACGCTCATCTGTATTGATACCCAAGCTTTGTGGGGGAGGAATCCTAGTGGATGTCACTAAGCAACAGCTTCCCTTAATTTCTAATAACTAATTCGGGTGATTCAGGGATGAGATGGTGTTCTCTCAGCACAGCAGGGGAAAAAAAAGCGGATGGTTCGTTATTCAATCAGAAGACGCCCCCGCCGATAATGAAGATTCGTTCCACTTCGCGTCTGGCCCATTGTATGACCTTGTTAGCCCCTTGGGTCAGCACTGGACGGCTCACGTTGGGGCCGGCGACGCAGTAGAATTCGAAAACGGGAGTGATCCAGGCCAGGGCGGTCGCGTCTTCGGCGACGGAGTGCAGGACGCGCATGTGCGAGTGCTTCGCGTGGACGGCGGCGTGCAGTTGGTGGTAGAGGCCCATGAGACGACGGCGGGCCATAAGGGAGGAGAAGACAGGGTCCAGGGTGGACATGCTGAACTGGACGTTGGCACGGGATTTGTATAGAAAGTGGGATATCTGGCCGCCGGGGGCAATATCTGTCGTCCTAGGCCTGCCTGCGCGTGCGGCGGCCTGAATTGTTGCGAGATGGCCAGACTTCGCCAGAGAAGCGGCGACGGCGTCCCGCATTTGTTTAAGCTCAAAGAAGGACTCCTTGTCTGGGCTGATGAGGATGATGGCCAGCTCCTCGTCCGTGTTGGCTGGCGAGTCCTGTTCCGTGGCTTGTCCGCCGTCCACGCCGTCAAAGAAACTGACGTACATGTACAGATAGCCGCGGTTGTTGAAAGCAGGCAGGCACAACGGGATCCAGTTCTCGCCGCCACCCGCTCTGATGCCACTGGATTCGAACAACATGTTGAAGATAAGTTGTAGGTCACTAGGATGAAGGGAATGGCGGCGCGGGCGAATGACGCTGACCAGCTTGCCTCCAGCCACAATGAGACCGTAGAGGAGCTTGTCTGTCCGCTGCTTGAGGAAGGCATTATTGATGGCATACCTCTGGGACTTGCGCAACTTGAGGCATTCCAGAGCCCCGAGAAGTGCCGACGGGGAGCCCTTCGTGAAATTGTCAGCGAGAGACGAGATGAGAGGCTCGGTGCCCTCGAGCGGTTTTCGAAGGTCGCTAGATGGGCGATGGACGAAGATGTTCTTCAGAGTTGGTAGTGTAAGCGTCGACAGGATCTGCATATATAAAGCCTCCAGTTGCGCCCTGAGCTGCGAGTCGCTCTCCCCGAGCCGGCTGATAGCCACAAAGTATAAAGGCCCTTGTGTCGCGATAACGAATCTCGTGTTCCCTGCCGTGAAGCCCGAAAGTGAATTCTTTGCCCCTTCGTAGAAAGATATGAGAGTCTGGACGACGCCCATATAAGAGTTGATCAGCCCCAAGTCTCCATGGCGACTATAAATAGGCTTGCCGGCAGACGACAATATCATGTAATGCTTCAACTTTGCTTTCCACATGGCGACTCGTTCCTCATCCTTGACGCTCTCATCGGACTCGTCCGGCAGATCCTCGAACTCATGCGCGAAGTTGGCTAGACTGCGAGTCGTATTGTCCATCCTCAGAGTCTCGAACGGTGGAACCGTCGCCGATTGTGACCTAAGAAGGTTCCATGCGGGACTTCTCTTGTTGAACTCGCCCATCAGCAGGCTGGCAATATCATTAGGAGGCCGCAGGGTGGGCGAAAAGCTGGCGATGCTCATGGAGTCTTCCCCTTCCGCCAGCGTCCTTATCGGCGTCGCGTGGCCGCTTTTAGAGGACTGGGCGGGTGTGGACACGGCTCTATTGCCCGAAATCGAGAAGGTGCCGCGAGAGCCATCTGGGAAGGACAGTGTCTGGATGTCGAGAGGGGTGACGGCGGTGGTGGCAGCGGCCATGGCCATTCTTGCATCTATCGATGCATTCGAATCGATAGAGGGTCGTGGAGGCAGAGGCGGAGGCTGCTCTTGGCCGGGGCTATGTTCGCGGTCCTCACCCATGATTGCGGCAGAGCACGCGGGACCATCTCAACTAGGCAATACGGGAGACGTCGGAGTCGCGTAGCGGTCGCGGACTTGGATGTGCCTGACTTTGTGTTCGGCTTTGGGTATCAATGGCCCAAGTTTCAAGGTGCTATGGCAGGCATGCGGGGCCTGACCCAAGTTGTACGAAGGCTGAAGAAAAGAGTAAGGATATGCTGAGGGATAGAGAGGATGAATGGGGAAAGAGAAGATCGTCCCAAGTAGCGTAGGTAGGTACCTACTCGGCCTGCTGATGATGCACAGGAGGGGCGCCTAGACTTAGCGGTGCGGCAGCCCTCACTACCTAGTGGGAACGGTCCGCTAATCAAAGCTAAGGCCCACTCATGTTCAGACCAGCACCGGTCCAAATACTCTGGAGGCAGGGAGCCAGTAACATGGGATTCTAACAATCCCATGGCCTCGAAAGCCTCCTTCTCAGAGGAAAACCCGCCGAATACACAAATTGCCTGTACCTTCAATAAAATCGCCGAGGCGCTGGCTCGGAAAGGTGTGAAGCATCATGACAAGAAGGGCAGAGAGAACCGTTGGATGGATGAGAGCCTCCGAAATCGCATCTAACCCATCGTATTTTTACAAAGAGTGCACGCTAAACTGCAAACCCACGTGCAAGCCAATCTGCTCTGACTGCAACTTCAAAAGGTATTTGATAAATTAGATTATGTCTCGTTACAAGCCGCAAAGGTGGGGGTTTTTCCAACAGCTTCCTAACTGTAAGGTACAGAGTCCACAATTTTTAGGTACCGTATAAATCGATGCTTGATGACGTTGTTGGTTTACTATCGCAGCACTGATACGGCCAGCCTCGTCAGGCGGGAACGGTCGCTAAATTAGTCTGACCAATGGGAAGCTTGCGAGCTCCCAGGATGCCCCCCCACTGTACACCTGTCGTCTGGAAGGAGACATGGTAGCCTTTCGAGCTCATCACATTCTAAACCCTGTCCACGACACTCGTTGCGAAGACAGCACTTTATGCAAGCGACTGAATCACCAAGGGTCAGGCAGCAATGAGCCCGCGATACCTTCGTTACGATCACACAAGAACAGTCTGATGTTCTCGCTCGTTCTACCAACACCCACTCTCAGCAATCATGGCCCTTGAGCCTGGCTCTGGCCGACGGTCCGTCTCCCCCGAGAGCTCAGGCCGTGACTCCCCTCTCCCGCGTCAATGGAGGAACCAACTCGGCGCCGGTAAGTCTCTACGCTGACACGTATACCAATCCGCCAGATATTAACATGGGAAACAGAAGAGGCGCCGATCAAGGACAAGCACTACCGTAAATACGCATCCGGCATTGAGCGAGCCCTTTCACTATTCGAGACGGCCTTGCAGGAATGGGCAGACTACATCTCCTTTTTGAACCGCCTCCTGAAGGTTGGATACCCTCAATTGAATTCTGTATGGTATAGCAAAATGGGACACTGACCACAGTCACAAGGCACTTCAAGCTCGACACCCCTCCACCACCACCATCCCTTCAAAAGCCATCGTCGCAAAGCGCCTATCACAATGTCTCAATCCCTCCCTGCCGTCAGGTGTGCACCAAAAGGCACTCGAGGTCTACAGCTACATATTCGCGATGATAGGCACTGATGGCCTTTCCAAGGACCTGCCCCTATACCTTCCGGGCCTGGCCTCGACTCTCTCATTCGCCTCCCTCTCCGTCCGATCCCCTTTTCTCGATCTACTAGAACACCACTTCCTCGATTTGGATCCCCGATCGCTCCGACCGGCCATGAAATCCGTTGTCCTGGCTCTCTTGCCCGGTCTTGAGGACGAAACGAGCGAAGACTTCGATCGAACACTGCGGTTGATGGACAGCTTCAAGGCCGCAATTCGTCCAGCGGGTAGCCAAGAACTAGATGGTCCGCATTCGGTCGGGGACGACTTTTTTTGGCAATGCTTCTTCTTGGCCTCTATCACGGGATCGAGTCGCAGGGCTGGAGCCTTAGCCTACATGGTGAGAAACCTACCCAAGTTAGGCGAGCCGGTTGTCCATGGAAAATCCGCCAAGAATGGCGTCCAAGACGATGAGCAATCTGCACCGCTTGCGAAGATGGTTACTTCACCCGAGCCAGGGCTACTTCTACGCTCGTTTGCTGCCGGCCTTGCGGACGAACAGCTGTTGATTCAACGCGGCTTCCTAGACCTTTTGGTCACTCATCTTCCTCTGCACTCGAAAGTTTTGCAAACGAATGTCAAACCGGGTGATTTGGAACTCCTTCTCCGTGCGGCAGTTGGTGTCGTCATTCGGAGGGATATGAGTCTCAACAGGCGGCTTTGGGCATGGTTCCTCGGCCCGGACCCCGCGCCGGGAGAAAGCGAGAGTGGCTTCGACTCACCCTCTTCAGCAGATCAACATAATTCATATTTTGCATCCAAGACCAGCTATTTTGAGGATCATGGGCTTCGGCCTCTAACCCGAGCCCTCCTGGGCATGATCAATGTTGACCGGGGATCGAGCCCCGGAGAGAGGGCCAGACCTTATAGAATCTGCCTGTCATTAATGGATCGATGGGAGATTGGCGGACTTGTTGTCCCCGAAGTATTCCTCCCAATCGTCAATAGTGTTCGGCACTATAGAGACCAAGCGCCCAGCAAAGCCGATTTCAACGAGGTGTTCCGCAGTGCAAGTGTATTCTTTGACGGCGTTGAGAGTGGTCTGATCTACGGCGAGATCGTCGGTCTGCTAGCACAAGCTATAGGCCCAGGAACCTTGGCTGATAACGAGCGTCTCGACAAACTCGTTTTGGTTAACTTCATCTTGGCCAACTTCAACGTTCGCGAGGAAGAGATGATTACTATCCATGCACCACTTGCCGCTTTATCTATTCTCTGCATGCTCGAAGACATAAGGGAGAAGCAGGAAGCGGGCCCTGCACAGGAGAGCTCGCATAAAATCGCTGAGGAGGCATTGCGCATCACTTTGACCGTCTTAGACCTCATTCCGGACCGAGCATTCCCCTCAGCGGCTGCCAACAACCCCAAAAGAACGATGGAGACCGGTGTCTTGGCATCATTGCCTGCAGTCGAACTCCTGAAACGGATTAAGGCATTTTACGTCGATGAACAAGGCAATCTTGATGCAGTTCATGTTCCCCTTTCTCCCATCGAGGTTGGAGAGCTTCTGTTGCAGAAAACAGGCCAGCTTATCTGCGAAGGTCTCAAGAACCCTGAGTCAGGGTCAGATCTGGGAGCCAAGGGAAGGGTTCTAACCACCCTGTTGCTCAAAGTGCCGACGACCTATCAACTGGATACGGCGTACCTTTTGTCCTGCCTTCATGAACGCTTGCGGCACTCTGACAGATTGCCGTTTACCTCTTTTAACTCCATTCTCTATCTCTCCGCTCACCTCTACTCTGCAGAGAGGATAGAGCTGCCGGACCTTACTGAACTCGTCAATCCTCTTGTTCGGCAGGCCTGGGAGTTCTTGTCTGCTTCTGAGCCAAAATACCACGTTGAAACAGTCAGATCATTGTGGCAGCTTCAGGCTGCCCTTACTTCACAGAACCGTGATATAGAAGCTGCGCTTGCCAGCCTGATCATTGAAAATGATGTCCAAGGATCATTCGCATCACGCCCAGCTGATGCTGGTCGCCGCTTCAGCGTGCTGTGGTCCCATACGCTACAAGATTCTAACGCCGAAAGACGAGGCTCCAAGACGCCCATGACTGAAATGCCCCCTCAGGCTCGATTGGCAGGTTCGGAAAACTACCACGTCATGTTGGAGCGGCCTCTCTTCCTCATGCTAGATGCTCTCTTGGACGAGCGAACCCAGTTGTTCATGACTGTTAAGGGATGGTTAAACAGCTTGGTAGGCATTGACAAGTAAGTCGAGCTGCACCCTACTATGAGCCAAGGTGCTAACTAGAACCAGATTGTTTCTGCTCTTCGTGCGGAAGTTTTCTGCTTTAGGGTTTCTTAGATCAAGTCGCGAGATTGGCTCAGCCGCCACTTCGGCCAGTTCAACTACCTTTACCGCAGACGACGACTTAGATCTTTGCCTCTACTACCTGAGAACATTGTCCAATGTTTTCCGTTGGGCCCCGGATATCATATGGGCTGTGTTGGCATCGACGAGTCTTACAGTCGGTAGCGAGCATGCAGAGATCGCGCAGATGAGTAAGTGACAATGCTACTTTTGAGAACCCAGTTCTGACCGTCACAAGCTGGCCAAGAAGGCGACATCACTATGCAAGAGGTATTTGTTCACGTCTGTTTGAGATGTATCGCCGGAAACAACGAGCCTGCGGATGAGCACATTCGCGTTCGGGCCACGCAACTTCATCGCTACGCCCTCACCGTCATGCATCAGATCCTTTTGAACCCTTACGCCGAACCCCTTGCCCGTTTGCACCTTGAGAACGTTCTTATCGAGCGTCTTCTCCAGTCTCTCAGCGGGCCCGATCCCTACGTTCAGGTCCTTCTCTTGGACGTCGTATTCGATGCATTGAAACTTCGAGACGTCGTCATCTCCGACGTTCCTGCTTCTCCATCATCAGAGAAGAGGAAGATGAGCCTTGACCCTACCAAGAGCCTCAGAGTGTCATCACAGTTGGATATAAAGCCAACAGCTCCGCCGCCCAACCTACTCAAGTGTCTCCAGGCCGGGTTGAGCTCGCCTAGCAGTCGCAGTGTTCTTGACAGTTGGGTCAGCTTCTTGACAGAATGCTTGCCCTTCTACTCGGATACCATATTCCAAGTGCTCATTCCTTTGGTGGAAACGCTTTGTCGGCAGGTTTCGAATACCTTCAACGACTTACAATCCATGTTCAGAGATAGCGGCGGTTCTAGGAAGGGTGATTGGAACGCGCCTGAGTCAACGCTAATATCCCTTCTCAATGCTCTAGAGCAAGTTCTGGCCCGGGCACACGAGCGACTTCTGGTTGAAGAAGCCAGAACGCAAGTCGTCAAGGGCCCAGATCAGCATCCAGGATTCTTTGGAAACATGGTGTCGGGTGTCTTCAACTCAGATGCACCACAAACCCGGAGTGCCACCGCCAATGACAGACTCACTGTCCATCTTGCGTTCGCGGATGCAGTTCGCATTTGCTTTACAATCTGGTCATGGGGTCAAGGCAGCGACATGAATGCTCAAGATATGACTTCGATTTTCTCTTTCAACTACACATCACTTCGTATGAGAAATCGAGCTAGACGGCTATTGGAGCATCTCTTTGCCGCCGAGACCTTGGAGTGCCTCGAAACGGTCATTGAGATTTGGCGGAGCTCAATCAATATTACTACGCCGGCCCCTCAGTCCGAAGTGTTCAATCTCCTCCCAGCATTGGACGGTTCTCGACCCAAACACACCATTCCTGCCATATTCAATGCCATCTACAGCAGGACGAACCCCGGGGCGTTGGACGTCTCAAGGAAATCGACTCTGACAACGTCTCTTCAAGATATAGACCTCGTCACGTTCTTGGTTGAGTACGCTCGCTCGCTTGAGGACGACGCAATGGACGAGATATGGCTTGACTGCATGGCATTCTTGCGCGACCTGCTCACTAATCCTTTCCCGCACCGGCAGACGCTGCCAGGTCTGTTGGAATTCGCCGCTATTCTGGGAGAAAAGGTGGACAACACCAACTTTGGCGAGCAGCGGAAGATGAGGCGGGAGCTTGGGGTAAGTACAGTGAACACTATCCGTGATGCATGACTAACAACAACCAGGATCTCTTCCTCCGGCTTCTGACCGCAATATTCACAACCAAGCCCATGACATTCGCGGATGCACCGCCTTACGAAAAGTCGGAGAAGAATCGGGATGGTGTACGCCGAACTGCCACGTTATCCTTGGCCACCGTTCTTGATAGAGCTGAGGATGTGGTGGCTATCCTGGCCTCGGTCGTTCCAAACCTGCCCAAAATCTTGGTCGAGACAGACCGTGTGTTGTCTGCCGCAGGCACTATTTCGACAAACGTTATCAACCCAGCTTTCAGAGCCAAAGGATTTCCTGACACGGTGTCCAAGAACACTCTTGTGCTGCTTCAAGAACTGTCCAGGTTACCTAATAACCAGAAGACCTGGAAGAAAGACGTTGGAGATGCCTTTAATGACGCTAGGTTCTTCGGCTCGAGCATCGATCTGGTGCGAAGCGACTGGTTGCCGTTACTAAGACAATGGACCATTAGCGACAAGGAGCGTATGCCCGAGCTCCTGAGTCGCATGACTCCGCCCACAACAGCCGGTATCGTCTTCGGCGTCGGCGCCACTTCCGCCCGTCTAGAAGCAGACCGGAAGACGCAACTCAACCTCCGTCGCACTGCCACACTGGTCCTCGCCTCAAGCGAGGATGCTTTTGTTGCAGAGCTTCCGACCATCATGGACAAGGTGGTGGAGCTGCTTGGGGCCACGGCGACTTCTTCACCTTCCTCCACTACCCGGGCAGAAATCTATATGCTCGTCCGCGCGCTGGTCCTCAAGACCAGTGCTATTCATCTGGCCATGATGTGGCCAGTGATCAATGCCGAGCTCCACGCAGCCATCTCGTCGGTCGTGGCTGCTGATCACAGCACAGCATCCGACACTTACAATAACATCTCCGTCCTGCAGGCCTGCAAGCTGCTAGACATACTAATCTGTGTTGCACCGGACGACTTCCAGCTCCATGAATGGCTCTTTGTCACCGACACAATCGAGGCCGTCTATCGATCCACCAGCTACCAGCCCGTTGCATTGGTTGACGAGCTTGCGGAGGAGCTCGGCACTATGGGTGTCAGCTCATCACTAGGGAGCATTTCAGCATCTCACCTGGCCACAAGCAGCTCAAACAGACGGCCGCTGCTCGGCGTGGGCGGCATCAATGACGAAATTAGTATCGACAGGAAAGAAGAGTTGGTGGGAAAGATTCTCCGTCCGTTTTTTGGGCAGCTTAGCATCTTCGCTTTCGAGTCGACATACGCGATGGCACCGCTAGACAGGGAATTTTGCACCCAGGGGTTGCTGAAGGATTTGTTCGACGAACGTAGTGTGGTCAAGGCGTTGTAAAAGTAGGTAATCGCAGGGTAGAATTATCACAGCATGGGCAAAGAGCCTTGAACTGAATGAACTTCATTGAGATGCTGATTTTGGCGGACTCAGCGTCCCCGGTATAAACGCCACCATGGCCTTGCTCGCCCCTTCCATACAGTACTGCACCACCTCAAGCTTCTCCCCTCCGGGGGCCAATTTCGCAATCTGCCTCAGGTCGCTCGTCCTCGGGAGATACAGGGCATGGTCCATGGGCTTACATGCGTCGTGCAGCTGATGCAGGTTGTACGGCTCCATCTGACTAAGGTCAAACACCTCGGCGGTGCGATACCCAGGCCCGCCCCACGGAGGGGATGCAAAGACGACGGCCTCAGCCATGTCGACGCGTAGCTCCTCCGATAACGCCTCCGGCGAGTTCTGGAGCTTCTCCAGGTACTCGAAGCAGTCGCCGTGGATCCAGGTGATGTACTCGCCAACCTCGTACAGCTCGGCGTTGTGCTGGGCGCACGCCAGGGTCGCGGCGTCCCGCTCGATGGAGATAATGCGATCCCAGCGGGCCGAGAGGGCGAAGGCGATAGTGTTGCCACCAGCGCCGCCGAAGATGTCGATGAGGACGCGCCTGGAGGCGTCAATGTAGTACATCTCGTTGGCGATCTTGTTGGCGAGGGGTTCCGGCGTCACGCCGAACCAAGCGCTGTCGGTGAGTCGGACGCCCTCATCGTACCAGGAGAAGAGGGAGTAGCGCTGGGAGAAGTATCTGGTGAGGGGATTTTAGTCAATTGTCGTGTGAAAATCACAGTTCCAAGAGGGACGGTAGGCTTACTTCTGGAGATCCCAAGGCACTTCGGCTTTGGACTTGTAGTGGCGGCACTCATCCGTTAGGGGGAGTCTGATAGCAGCCTTCATTTTGGGGGTGGCGATGCATGAAGCGCGGGACTTATACAAATCACCCTTTTCCAACGTCGTTATCTATGGAGATCTCAGTCGTTTTTTTCTTTCCCAGTAATACTAAGACAAAGTCACATTTTGGACCATAGTGATGAAATGAGCATGAACGAGGCTGAGAGAGAAATGATGGAGCTAGAATCGAAGCCCCACTTGGCACCCCCACTAGTGCGGGAGGAAGCTTGGACCCACATGCAAGGCTGACTGGGTACCTTGGATGACAGCTTGCTCCAAAGGGTAACGAACATCTAGAAACACAACTTCGTAGACAAAGTTCACCACCACGAAACCCTCGAACCATTCTCAATATCGACTGGTACCCCTTTTTTTTTTTATTTTAAAAAAAAATCAACCAACTCGGCAAGACAAGGGCTCGGCTCCAATGCTGAGCTGGTCACCATGTTCAATGCGCTGAACCGCTTCATGTCCCGCCTGGACGGGCAGCAACCGACCCATCAGAGCAACAACCAGGGGTCCTTTGGCTTTCAGGTACTGCGTAACACTAACCTCGAGCTCTACATTGAGCCGTGGTTTGACTTCATTATTGGTATCAATGGCCGTCCCATCGTATGTGAACCACCTACTCCCCCTCATATGTGCCCGTGTTCCCTTCCCTCGCCCCAATGTCCACAACTAACATGCGCCCCCCCTACGCAGGACAACCCCGACCCCCGACTCTTTGCCCAAGAAGTCCGCAACTGCGCCGGCGGTACACTCTCCCTCGGTCTCTGGTCCGCTAAAGGCCAGCGCACGCGCGAGCTGCACGCCTTGGTCCCCGCCGACACCGCCTCCCTCGGCCTCTCCCTGCAGTGGACGCCTCTCGCCGTCGCCGCCAATATTTGGCACGTCCTCGACGTCGCCGCCAACTCGCCCGCAGACGCCGCCGGCCTCCTGCCCTACGGCGACTACATCCTCGGCAGCCCCGAGGGCGCGCTGCACGGCGAGGGAGGGCTAAGCGAGCTCGTAGAGGACCACATCGGCCGCCCCCTGCGGCTGTATGTGTACAACAACGAGTACGACGTTACTCGCGAGGTGACGATTCAGCCGAGCCGCGACTGGGGCGGCGAGGGTGCCCTCGGGTGCGTCTTGGGGTATGGCGCGCTGCACAGGTTGCCGCCGCCGCTGAACGAGCCCGTCCATGCGCCGGGGGAGATGATGTTCGACGGGGAGAAGGACCCGGCCGCCTCGTCGTACGGGGCCGCCACTGCCGCAGGAGGTGAGGCGCCGCAGGATCTCTTTGTACCGGCTGCAGGCGCACTGCCCTCGGGGGGTGATTTCTTGGTGCCCGCGCAGATAGTCGATGCGAGCGGGGCGCCGCCGCCGCCGTCGATCGGGGGCACGGCGACGACGAGAAAGAAGAAGGAGAGGCATCACGGCGGGAACAACTTCATGGACGACTATTTCAAAGAGGAGGAGAAGAAGAGCAGGGAGGCGGACAACGCGCCGAGCGGGAGGGGGACGCCGGTCGCGCCGCCGCCGAGGGTGGGCTCCGTGGGGCCGCCCAAGGATGAGAAGCAGGCCGCTGTCGAAGGGGCCGATTGATGTGGGCACAGCATCGGAAAGAGAGACATGCATGGATTATAGAATGGGAACCTTTGGAGTTCATTGGCATCATGATGATTCCCAGAATTGCACTTTTTTCTTCTTCTCCTTCTTGAGACATCTACCGTGCTGATACAACGCCTGCTTGTATAATGTACATTGGCTTGATTCGTCCCGCATGCTGATGCTGCTGCTGCCCATGGGGTTCGTGCATGACTTCGATAGTGTACCGAACATGTCTAATCCTCTGCATCGTACTCAGGCCTTAACTAGAGAAAGCCATCCCTTTTTTACTCATTTAATGTCGTGCCTGGAACCACTGAGCAAAGACTTAGTTTATGAAGTTGACGCAGAAGAAGTGGAGGATCAAGCTGCATGCGACGTAATCGGCGAACGCTCTGCGATAGGTAGATGTTAGCCACAGTTTCACGTGAATGGTTGAGGGATTGGGGGATCGAAGTACCTCTCAGGTGATACAGAGGGGAAATCGGACTTGTTGGCCTCGGTGGTTTGGATGCGCAAGGAAGCTGGGAAGCTACTGTTAGCCAGTGGAAATTGAATAGCTGTCGCAATTGGCTCACCAGTGAGAACGAATTGCCCAACAGTAGCAGAGAAACCAGAGAGAAAGGCGTTGAAAGGCTGTTTCACATCGTTGTTAGCGATTTGTTCTTGCGCAAAGTCTCCCCTCCTCAGTGCCGCCAGTCAAACTCATTCCATAGTCTCATTTCCAAGAACAAGACGACACACCATATAGAACAATGCAAAGGAAAAGAAAAAGGAACGTACAAAGTTGCCAGCAATAACGCAGTACAAGAACTGCAGCCCACCGACAACAACCAGGAAGGCCATGAAGGCGTCAATCAGCTTTGTGCGCTGCGGCGTGTTCTTGACGTAGTGGTTGTAGATGTTGGTGAGAACCTGGTCCCAGTTCTGGGCACCGGAGGATGCGCCCTTGGGACTGGCCTTGGGCTGTGAGGTCATGGTGCCCGGGATCGCTGCGGCGGCAGTCGGTCCTGCGGGCGAGGAGGGGAGTTGGGCGGGTTCAGAGGCAGCGGCGGCTGCTCTTTGGGAAGAGACGCTGCGTTTGGGCGCCATTTTGGTGTTATTTTTTGGTCCGGTTCGTCAGTCAATTGCGAACAAGGGAGGTGTGTTTCAGAGAGTCAGCAAAGCTTGAAGAATTGGAAGGTACTGGTGGAATAACAGTTGAGGGGAGATGCTCGAGATGTTCGCTAGGATGCGCAGCCGATGCTGCTGCTGCGCAGTGCTTAGAGCTGGAAGCTTTGGAGGACACGAAAGCTTGAAGCCACAGCCCGTCAGGTGATGTGGCTGGTGCCACGCTTCAAAGGTGCCACTCGCAAGCCACAAATCCGGGGTAGCATGGTTTCCTTTCCTTGGCTTATTACTGGGACCCTGCGTGCGCAGCATTCGTGATTAGTCAGATGCGGAAATGAATGAGATCATTCAGCTGTCGTTTCGTTTATGGGTGGGATGTGGTGGACGTGCCGAAGCTCGGACTTGCCGAGGCACCGAACCTATTGAACCTACCGACCTAGGTCTACTTCTATCGCAGTCTTTCGTTACGATTCTACTACCCAATCGTCATCTATTCCAGCTCTGAAAGACCGCATTTCTTTCCGGATCAACCTTTTCTACAATATATCTCAATATGGTATGGTAGCGTAACTCGTTTTGGTATTGAAAGTGGAAGACGAAGCTGACGATGACACCTATGCGCAGTCTTCGGACCTCTCCGTCACCTCCTTCGCCCTGGGCGCGTTGACTGCCACCGGCGGCATCATTGGCTACGCCCGGACTCGCTCTGTCCCGTCTATCGTCGCCGGAGTCAGCGTTGGTCTTCTCTGTATGTAGAAATTGCCCCTCAGTTTCCCTCCCGTCTTTTTTTCTCTTGCCCTTTCCCGCCCCAATTGTCGACATCCTAACTGACCACAACCAACTCCGTGCAGACGGCCTCGGTGGCTACCGCATCCAGAACGGCGAGCCCTACGGTGTCGAGCTCAGCCTCCTCGCATCTGCCGTCCTCGGTGGCTCCGCCGTTCCCCGCGCTATCCGTCTCCGCAAGCCCGTGCCGATCTTGCTCAGCGTCTTGTCCCTCTTTGGCCTGTATAGCTTTGGTAACGAGTTCCGTCGCACCTTGTAAAGAGGTATAAAGGGATAAACAAGAGCGGCTGTACGATTCGTCGAAGCGATGTAATTGTAACATCAACCTAGTGTCAGGGAAATGAACAAAGCTGAAATATTGGGTTTTTCCACCTTTCCCATTTAAATTGGATGTCGTTTCGAGTCCATTGTGTTATGGTACATCCTCAATCCATTGTTAGAACGCCTCCAACATGTTGTACTTGTACGTTTTTGGTATTCTGCCCGCCCCGTGCCGTCACCCAAATTCGATAAAAGTCGGGAGTGTTCGTAATATAGTACAATGCCAAATCAATCTCTCTTTCCCGTTGTATGTCACCAGTCGTCTCGTAGATGGAGCTTTCGTTATGATCCGAAGAAATTTTGAGACGTCTGTCAGCCTAGTCGAGACCGAGCGACTTGTTGAGCTCTTTTATCCGGTTCTCGCGTTCCTCGCGCTTCGCCTTTGCTGCGGCCCGGTTCGCCGCAGTACGGCTTGCACGCGCACCGCGGAGGCACTCGCTGACTTTGTTCTTTGCGTCGTTGCACCCACCCAGAGATTTGAACAAGAAGCCCTTTGCGTGGCACTCTTCAAGGGCAACCATAATGTCTTCGCACTCTGTTTGAAGACGGACTTGTTAGTGCTCATGTTTGCGGGTCGAACAGGGGTGGTGGCGATCGATGCGCGGATGCCGATTGAGTTGATGGGTAACTGACCGAAGTTGTCTTTGGTATGCAGATGGGGATGCATCTTGAGGAGGACCTCTAAAGGGTCTGTGGAATCGCGGGCCGGGGAAAGATTTATTTCGTCGTTGGGCAGAAGCGCAGAAAGATGCCAGGGTTCAAAGGGTCAAATGCGCAGCGAGGGATTGGATAATTGGATAAGACCACTCGGTGGGGAGGAAGGACGCCGCGACATGCCGGACTTTTGCTGTGCGTTTGACGCGGCAAAAGCTCGGGCCACCTGCTGGCAAGCCACCTTCTAGAACTTCCCTCTGCTGTTGGCCACTGCTCAGAGGGCTATCACACTGGAGCCTTGTACTTATTGTCCTTCACTCAGCCGGGCCGTCTTGACCTTCTCAAGACTTCATCAAGTCCCACCAACGGCATTCACGACTCGACATCGACACGAGATCTGCACCCACAATGTCGGCGCAGGTAGCTAACCAGCGGAAGCAGCAAGGTCAGTCCTCACCCAGCAAGCCGAACGTGGAGGCACAGAGTTTGACATCACATGAGATCAACATCAACCCCGCCATATCTCTCAAGCATAACTCGTACTAAATCTTCTTTAGATCTGCAAACCCAGTATGGCATCTACAAGAACACTCTGCAGCAGATTGCGCAGAAAATCGGCGACGTTGAGCAGGAAGCTGAAGAACACAAGTGCGTCCCCTATCTCTGTGTAACTTTATCAACGTTCCCCCTATCGTCGGCACAGTTGCGATTGAGAAGGGCCCATCCGTCTCTTGGGAACTGCGGACTCTGCGCTCATTGAGGGGAGGGGGGAGCACGTTAGGATTATGTTCTCTCTCCGCCGCCAGACTCGTCCCTGTGCCAGTTCGCTCGTCACACCGCTCTTCACTCACTTCGACACTAAAAACCTAATCGACCCCACCGTCCATTGTTGTATCTCACTGACTAGTTACCATCACCCGAACAGGCTTGTACTAGAGACGTTGCAGCCGCTGTCCGGGGACCGAAAATGCTTCCGCCTGATTAACGGGGTCTTGATGGAGCAGACGGTCAAGGACGTCATGCCCGCCCTTACGACAAACTCTGAAGGTCTGAAGAAGGTTCTTGAGGACCTTGTCAAGCAGTACAAGGCCAGGCAGGACGAGTTGGAAAATTGGAAGGTTCGTTATATGGAGCCCCTCGCCCCTATTTCGGCATCAGCATATACGTCATTGAGGGGTCAAGTTTGCTGACGGATTCGGATCACAGAAGAAGAACAACGTCCAGGTTGTCCAGAATTGAGGGGTTCGGAAGACCTGTTCTTGGATGTGGATTTGTGGAGCGAACGTGGCTCTGCGCTTGCCCCTACGGCTGCGATGACATTCTCAGATTTACCCTTCGCTCGAGCCCGAGTCGGCGGGGGTATCGGGTCGCGAAAAGCATGCTACCCGCTGTGTTCTACCCCCCCGCGTTTACGGCGCCCCAACGCGATATGGATAGGTTGGCACACGAGACTTCTGAGGACGCCACGGTGACTTCAGCGTTTGAAAACAAGGCGGCGTCACGTATACCCATGGGCGAGGTAGTAAAAACATAAAGACAGCTCAGCAATGCGCCCAGCGACAAAGGCCATGCTGATAGTGTAGTGTTAGTAAAAGTAATGCGTTGTTCCACGCCGTTCGCAGAACGGTAATGGAACAGAAAGCAATGGAAGCCAGCGGCAACGGCGCCTCAGTGCCCAACAATATTCATGGTGCGAGTCGTGAGACCGGCACTCCACACGGAAAGCGATGGCAGGTTTGGCGGTTCAGATGGCTGGCTGAGATAGCTCCGGTTGACGAGGCGTGCTTACTGGCTGCCTGTTATGCGACCCAGTGACGAAAGGTGCGAGCACTGCGGCCTCTGGCAACGGCCAAGCAAGCCTCCCTCTGCCAAACGGTTCCCAGGGTCGTCAGACGGGTATACACCGGTCAATTTCGCCTTCCATTCGGGAGGGGGAGAGAGAGAGAGCATGCGGGGCGGAGGCGGCCCGGGTCGTCCGGCCGTCAACACGTCTCATACGTATCTGCGGGGGTCGATCGAGCTTGTCTGTTCGTGAGGAGAGCAGTGGCATCCGATTCGTGGTCAAGAAATGCCCGAAACAAGACACATGGGAAGATCGACTGATGCTGTCCTGAGCAGTAGCACAGCCGTGATATCATGCATGCTTCAGCATCGCAGCTGGTGCCCAATCTGCGTGATGCTCTCCACGACTTGAATGTTGTTACCTACAGGCCAGATGTGGGAGGCATCCCACAGTCTGCACCCGCCTCGCTGTTCCAAAGCTCCTCTTTAGTCGCATGCATCATGTACGAATAAGTACGAAATCATAGTGTAGTATGCGGGTGGGTGGCATCATGGGCTGCCTATTATGGCCCGAGTCGCAAGTAAGCGAGCGAGTGGAGTGGTGGATGATATGCCGCATGCGCCCAGTAGTCCTTGTGATGCCGAGAACCTGTCTTGGTAGCGAGGTCTCCAAAAGTCAGTGCTTATGACGATGATGCCGGGCAGTCATTGTCTGATGGCCAGCGGCAAGACCAGACCAGTACATTCGGCGAGGTTGTCGTCGACTAGGGTCGAGGAAAAGATGTGGCTCTGAGTTGTCAGTGGCTCCCCAAGACAAGAGAAGCGTAGCCAGCGCATGCAACCCTTACGCATTTGGCACAAACTCATCCGTAACGGCGTCGGAATCGCGAGCAGCGCGCCCCTCACGACGAGGATTAGGAAGGAGGGGTAGGAACCGCCTCGTCCAGACCAGGGTTGTCAATATGGGAGGAAAAGGTCGGCGCCACATGGGATAAAGTGGTGCTTCTTGATGCAGCAGGCGCCGTCCAATCCGAGCCCAACCCAGTTAGAGGGTTATTGGCTCCCGACTGGGAGGAAGGAGCCCAACGACAATGGAAGTGACTAACTGGGCCGACGGGTGTCTGTCACAGTCCTGCATGCAGGGTCAAACACAAGGCGATGGGCTGCCGATTGGTGACTGGTGTTCCGCTCGACATATTGGCAGAATTTCTCCGCGTGGTTTTAGCTGAGAAGAAACGACCAGATGAAGGGTAAGTGACGCGCCCCGGGGTGTTTTGTGCCAATCAAGAAAATAAGATATTTCTTGACTTTTGTGCCATTGGTCTAGGAAAGTCGGGTTGGCCTTGTTGTGTGTTACGCAGCCTTGTGCCCAAAGCTCCTCGGACAGTCCATTCAAGAGCTCACATCGATGGCGAATGTGCCTGAAGAGGCAAGTAGCGCTTTACAAGCCGACCCGGCGCATGTTTCGGCCCAAACGAGTCACCAGTCGGGGCACTTGCTTAGGCTGCCGTCAGCCAGCCTTCTTGTGCCTGACGAAGCGGGTTAGGTTAGGGGCGATGCCGAGAAAGACAGGTGACAGGTTCGACGGCTTGTCTATGGTACTCGAGACGGTGCCATTGTCAAATCAACCGGCTGGGTCGCCCTCCCACCTGGCCTTGCCGTCACGTCCAAGCTACCCCAATTACCAAAACTCGCACGGCCGAGAACGACGACGAAGAAGCAATCTGTATTTGTCCGGCCGCATCGCTTCGTCAACAACGCCCGTTGGGCGTGATGGAGGTGTTGGGCGACAGCCGTCCCTCTTCCATCTTCTCATCAGCATATCTGTGCAGGATCGAAACTCGGGTCACCGTCTCGATTTGTCGCTTGTGCCACTTGCGTGCGCTGCTTAGCGTCCGCCATGCGCCGGTGAAGAGCAAGGCAGCCGTGCTTGCTACCCTCCTCCGAACTTAGTTAGTGGCTTCGTGCAGCTCACACCGCTCATACACGGGAAGCATGGGCACTGTCCCGTGTTGATACAGTACAGCATGAAGTGCATGCAATGGCACCCCAAACTCTGTTGAGCGGGAGGTCGGAGGAAGAGAAGTAAGGATGCGGGAAGAAAAAAAGATGAGCTGTTTCTAGTTTGTGTGTTTGGCAGGCTTCGTTCCTTGGTGCAAGGATTTGCAGGGAATAAGGAAATACCGTCAGACGCCCGAACTAATGGCCGGTGGGCATCCGAGGGTGCGAAAATATAGTAGAATACCTACGAAAAGGCAGTCCCAGTTACGAGCGCATCTCTTCAGCCGCGTGTCTTAAATGTTAGGGAGGGAGGAGGACCGGATGATGAAGGGGGTTGGAGGTACCGCCCTAGATACTGGAAGCTGACAGGTACATTGGCTCTGCGCGGTGAAACGCCTGCGGAAGAGGTACCGACCCCGTTATGGATAAAATGGCAGGCGCAAAGCGCGACTTTGAGCGACTTTGGCCTTGTTATTGTGTTTAATGCGCCAGCTTCTTGTTGACCGCACCTTCTTTGCCCACTTTCCCTCCGTTTCTCCCTTCTGCACCAACCCCACGTTTCTTGCAGCCATCAACAAGTACAGGTGCATCCTCCAAACAAGGCGCATTGTTAGGCTCTATTGCGACCTCGATCGAACAACTCAGACACCCATAAACTGGTAAGTCAAATCGGACAGGCCCTTGTCAACGGCACTTGCTTTGGCCCCTCTTCGTGTTTCCCCCCAATTCCGTCCATACACAATCGCGCGCGCGCGCGTGTGTGTGTTGAGTGTGCCTTCACTGCTCTCGCCCTCCTCGCCCACGCCCCCGACCCCAGTCCCCCGTCTCTATCTTTCTTCCTCTGTGTCCCGTTCAGGCCAAGTGAAGCTTTCTCTGACGTACCTTTGCAGCTGTTACGCCTTGATTCCCCTATCACGGCTTTCCCGTCCGACCGGTGTGTAACCACGGGTCGACCTCTCGGCCAGCCCAAAGCTCAGCCAAAGTTACGAAGGCTCGCCCATCCGTACTGTGCCCGCGCACCGCTTCGACGCAGCACTCCGCAGCTCCGCCGACAAGTACCTCCATCCGCCTCGGAGCTACTTGATTAGACCTGACACTTCCTCGCCCACCACCCCCATCTCGACTTGTCAGCTTGGTCTATCTTCCACCCTACAGGTCAACCCGCGCCGAGCATCGAGCACCAACCCGAAGGAGCGCGCATACCCACAGCTGCAACGGGGCGATCAAGAAGCACCTTGGCCAGCTCGACGCTACCCTCTCCTCGGGCTATAGGTTGGCCATTCGTGTGGGACCCGCAAACGTAGCCACCCTCTTTCCGCTTTTTTCCCAGTCTCTGTCTCAACTCTACTCGGGCAAGGGCATCGTACAGGCCACCCCAGGAGGATCCGTCATAGCCTGAAGTCAAGACAGGGCCTGCCAGGGGATCGCGAGTAAAAATAATCCATCTCAGGACAACCCGAGCAGCCCACGGCAGGATTGACGCACACTCCTGCAGCTAAGCCGCGATACTTGCAAGCCCTACGGACCTGCAACGTGTCAGGGACACATCATTCCAAACCCGCCGTGTGTGCGAGCTGCAAGAGCCCAAGCAAATTACAAGAACGCCAGCAGCCGCTGCAGGTAGCCAAATATGTCGGACTCCCCCCAATCTCCTCCCAAGGATGTCGACCAAGGTGTACAATCACCGGAAGAGGAACAAATGAACGAGCCTCAAGACCCACAGTCCGGCGGGCTCACCTATGAGTTCGAAGTTAAGGAGCAGGACCGCTGGTTGCCCATAGCCAATGGTAAGCCGTATTCCCCTTCCTTCGCAACGACGAGACGACGACGATGATGATTTGGACTGTTGCTCTGTGTGCTCTGGCCATTCTTATGGCGGCGACCCGTGGACTGGACTGGTATGTTTGCTGGTTTGCTCGCTTGTTCACATCTCCGCTTGCCATCCGCTTCTTTCTGCTGTCCGCTGCTGTTGGGCCTAGTCAGTCGCAGTTTCCAGAGGAGCAAGCGGCAACGGCGCTCGATCAAGTTGTCAATGTCTCAAGATCTGTTGCCGCAATCGTCGGAAGCAGACGGTGCTTCTGGTGGGGAGAAGTATGATGAACTCGACGCTAATATACGTAACTTTGCTCCAGTGGCCCGCATCATGAAGAATGCTCTGCCGGAGAACGCCAAGATTGCCAAAGAAGCGAAGGAATGCATGCAAGAATGCGTCAGCGAGTTTATCTCATTCATCACAAGCGAAGGTACGCTATATCTTCCGAAGCCAGCTCTACGGGCCGAGTGGCGATTTTCCAGATCATAAACCTAACCTATCACAGCTTCGGAGAAGTGCCACCAGGAGAAGCGAAAGACGGTGAACGGAGAAGACATCCTATTTGCCATGACTTCACTGGGATTCGAGAACTACGCAGAAGCTCTCAAGATCTACCTCTCCAAGTACCGAGAAGTGCGTATAACCTAAGGTTGACAGGGACATGGAGCTATACTGTCCTCGTAATACAGCGGGTGGGCCAAACTAACAGACGCAGCAGCAATCGCAGTCAAACAGAGGAGAGGGAGCGCACCGCCCTAGCAGTAGCGGCTACGGCGCCAACCCTCCAACCGGAGCTGGAAGCTTCCAGGCCGAGCCTCAGAACAATGTGCTTGGAGGTCAGCAGGCAGATGGAAGCGCCGACGCCCAGGGCTATATGTACGGCGCACAAACCAGTCACAATGGCACTGGTGGCGGCGACGGCTACCAGTGAACAGCTCGATCGCTGTTTGGATAGTGCGGGTACGCAAGGACAAAGTTTCTACTCGACATATATTTAGTGGCCGCGGCTTGACGGTTCAACGACAGACTACGCCTGGCCGCGAACTGAAGTTTGTATAAGTACGAGGACCCGCTCTTTGGATTTGACGAGGCATACGGGTTGTACATGAGAGCCTCAGGAAGCAAGTGCGGTGAGAAGGGGAGCAGAAAGGGTTACCCAAAAGTGTGGGCTGGAAGGGTTGTTCAAGTTTTCTTTTCTTCCGACCCATTGTCTATTCGATAGATTCCCCCTCTATGGCGTTGCAATTCAGTCAGCCATGCCGGGCCCACGAACGGCCATAAGGCATTGGAAAAGAGCAGTTAACAAGCATCGAAGCTTTTTGGATAGGACCCAGTCCGTATATCCAGAGCACAGGTAGCTATAGCACTTTTTGATAGCTTCTAATCTATTTCCGTCGCGCAGCGTTTCGATATATTCTTAAACAAACTTTTCTCGTGGCTCTTCTCATGTTATTAGAACGATGATTCAACCTTGCGTATCACTTAGTAGCAGGTAGCGAGGGGGCACTGCATCAGCGATATAATGATAATCGTAGGAAGAAGACAATGGTCGCAATATCACATTGCCTCTTATTAGCCTAGCATGTTCTTGGCCGCCACTTAAAGTCCATTGCATAGATGCACGGTTCAGGGCCTCTTCAGGGGTCATGAGGCACGTGCGCAGCCCCTCCACAAAATTTTGCCTGGCGGGTGAAAGCCGCCCACTCCCAGAAAAAAAGCATCTGCAGCCTCATTCCCAGGCAACCAACTGCCGCACAACGAAACGATTCTGCCGGCCTACGCCACCACAACTCCAACTCAATTAGTTTCTCGAGGGCAAGGATTTCCACTCGAGTCCTGACTGACGCAAAGCAACGAGAAATGCGGGATATGTTTCGCACATCCTCGCGCAACACATCTATCAGTCCATGAGAACAGCCAGACGCCCAGTCTCGATCTGAATTCCAAACCCCGCTGGCAGAGTAGAGACCCGGGAGTGTTGACCATCAGGCGCCACCATCCCCATGCGACCCTTCACCCCCATTTCCAGACATCGGTCTGGTCCGCCGCCGAGAACAGCAACGCCAGTAAAGAGCATTCTGCGGCAAACGTCTACAGTCCTTGGCCGAAGGAAAGCCGATGAACTTGACTCTGATGCAGCCGACCCCCCTTCTAGCCCGACCAAGAGGCGAAAAGTCCTCATCAACGAAATGAACAACCGCGTCTTCGAGTTTGGCGGCGATTCGATGGATGAGGTGAACGCGGAAGTCCGGAAAGCGCTGGAGGAGCACCTAATGGGGGAGGACGAAGACTACGACGTCCTCAAGGAGAAATTCACCAACGACAAGCGGCGATACCTGCCGCCCATCGCCGGAGAGGAGGAGGACACCCTCAAACCCCATGAACTGAAAGGCTACGTGCTGGCGCTGACCAGCTGCGTCCCGCTTTTGAAGAACAAGGCCTGCAATGGCCTCGTGAGGGAAGTGCTGCAGGTGTCATGGTTGGGCCGAGACGAGGATTTCTTCAAAGTTTACATCCAATTTCTGGCCGCCCTGGTTAGCGCACAGGGATCCTACCTGACGCATGTGCTCTCTATGATCGTCGAGAAGTTCTCCCAGTCCAGGCAGTCTGAATGGAGCGTCAGCGACTTCCCTCCTGTCAGCCGTGTAACGATGCGTGAGCGGCTGCACACCGGCCTGCAATACATCCTCCAAATGTTCCCAGCCGCCACCCCGGTTCTCCGCAACCTCCTCGACAGCAAATTCCCCTTCGACGACGACCCTAAGAGAATGTTTGTTGCCTACGTCAATAACCTTTTGAGGCTGAAGGAATACGCGGGGGAGCTGGATCTCGACATTATCGATGTTCTGCTGTCGCGGCTGGTCAAGATTGACGTGCAGATGCAAACGGACCTCGACGACCTTGATGATGATCTGACGGCATCCGTTGCCTACGCGCTTGGAAAGTCCTTGGGCACCAGCTCGTGGGAGGGCGATGAAGACGCCGTGGACAAGGACAGCGACGAAGAGTCGGTGGAAAGCGATGATTCGGATTTCGACGATCAGGAAGAGAAGATCCGCATTGTTAAGGGCAACGTGGAAAAGCTGGACGCCATTCTTGATACGTTATTCGATCACTATACCCCGCTATTCGAGAACCCCGACTCGGATCAGGCATGGGAGCGATACGCTTTGCTTGTGCAGTCTTTTGGAAAGATTGTGCTGCCGACATACAAGTCCCGCCATACCCAATTCCTGCTCTTCCACTTCGGCCAGATGTCAGCCCGGCTACGAGATACCTTCGTCGGCAGTTTGATGCACATCTTTGGCTCGCAAAACCGACCAAGCTTTGTTCGACAAGCAGCGGCTACCTACCTGGCTGGGTTCATGGCGCGAGGCGCTCATGTTCCGTCTGACCTGGTGCGGACCGTCTTTGCTCTTCTGCTCAAGCAGATGCAGATCTACCGCGTCAAGCACGACCCCGACGCCAGAGGACCGGATTTGAGAAGGCACCAGATCTACTATGCTCAGGTTCAAGCCGCACTCTACATGTTCTGCTTCCGCTGGCGCGACCTGATTGTTTCCACGCCCGAATTCGTGGACCGCGACGACCCTGCGTCATACCTGGGCCACGAGCTGGAGTGGATGCAAGGGATGAGAGAAGAATTATCGGCCAGCGTATACTGCAAGATGAACCCTCTCAAGATCTGCGCACCCGCAATCGTCGAGGAGTTTGCGACACTGGCTCACAAGCTTGGCCTAATGTACATCTTTCCTCGCGTGGAAGAGAACAAGCGAATTAGACTGTCGCAGTTTGTGTCAGACACATATGGTACAGGCGGTGCCCTTAGAGATACAGGCTCTGGAGCCCAGGATGAGGAGGCATACCAGCTCGATCCCTACTTCCCCTTTGATCCCTACCAGCTACCTGTGAGTAAGCGGTGGGTTCAGGACGACTATGTACACTACCAGGCTGTTCCGGGCCTTAACATGACGGCGGATAGCGACAGCGACGAGGACGATGAGGACAACATCCCGGAGACGGATGTCGAGGAAGACACCGCCACCGCCAGCGAGGACGAGGACGACGAATGAAGAGTGGCAATGGAGGAGGAACGGGTCAAAATGCATTATCACGGCGTTGGACGGTCACCAAAAAAAAAAAAGCGAAACCTGGGCCAATTTGGCATTGAGGATATGATTCCCGCGAGGCGTTGGGCGTGACAAAGAAAAGAATTCAGAGCTATGTTGGAAGGACGAAACATGAAAGTGGCGCTCATGTCGAAGAAGCAACGTCCTAGTTTAACCCCTTTCCCAAGGCTTTGAGAAGATGTCACGCAATAGCTGTCGTCTTAGCGAGGACGACCGTATCTCGCATTTCAGTATGAAAGAAACAAGGTCATTCCGAACAGTTATGTATGCCCCGACGCGACGCGCGTTAGCGTCGTTCAGTCGAGCCTCGATTTCGTACTTGTCAAAATTATGCCGGTGGCAGCTTTTCTTAAATATCTGAATGGAGACGGAATGGATGGATATCTTGAATTGCAGATATAACAATCTTACTAAGGCGTTACCAACTTGTTGTCTGTCAGCACGAGCCAATGAGCAGTGCTTAGTGTGTCTACACTTCCTTGATCTGGATAAGCGTCACACACGCTCTCCCCCTCATCTTCTCTATCCTCTCTTCCCTGTTTGCAAGACCCAACAAACGGCCCCCCAAAAAAGGCCCTTTGGGAACCATGAGGCCTGACCGGCATTCCCTGAGCTGCTTATCCGCTCGTGGGGCGAACGAGGGGCCTTGGGCAGAATTTTCCGAGAAAAAAAAATCGACAGATCCTAGAGGACAGCAAAACCGGGCGTAGTGCCTCCCCTCGCTTGATTGCCTCTCCCGCCTTGTGGTCCACGAGGTCCCACTTATTAATACCGAGACGGTGGCACGCTGAACTCAAAACCAGGTGATACATTTATACACAAGGCCTTGCGTCCACAACGTACCTCATTGCCAACCTCACTCCATCGACTTCCTGTTTGGTCGAGAGGCATACTTACATTTCACCATAGCCTTTTTCTTTCTGCTGTAATTTGCTGTAAGCAGCCATGGCGGACCATCATGCGGCCTCGTCGATGGCGGGGGAGGGGAGGCATCAGCACCAGCACCACCAACATCAACAGCATCAGCAACCGCAACAGCCGGATAGGGAAAGTGGCAGTAACAGCCGGCCGTCCTTTACGGAGTACTGGATGGCAGAGAAGCAGGGCGGGAGTGTGGGAAAGCTGAAGTTTGTGAACGAGGGACTGGTGCTGGCCCGTCAGCTACAGTATCGATCGTCGTCGTCGTCGTCGTCGCCGCCTTCGGCCATGGAGTCCTCTCCCCCCAAGGATGCGGGTGATGATGAGCGGCAGCAGGATTCGGGTGAGTTCGAGGTTTTCTTTGTCTTTTTTCCCCTGCTCATCATCCCCCGCCAGTTTCATTTCCGCTACCATTTCATCCGCCCGCTTGGCGCATATGCATCATCTACCCATGCCGGCCATCACGATTGCGTGCACCTGTTTTGCTTCGTCCTGCTCGTTTCTCTCTTCCCTTCCTTGCGCCGTTGTGGCTCCCCGATTGGCAAGTGTCCAAGTCCTAGCCAGAGCCCTCTGACTTACGGTGTGGAAATTGCCGTTATGAGCAGTAAAAGCTTTTATTGTTTCATTCGGATCTGCCAAAGTTACACATGTCTCGTCAAAATAAAGCCCCGGTAAGGAGGATGTGACACATGCCTGATTTGTCACTGTGGGCACGAATGATTCCTCATCATTTAACTTAACCGCACACGCACGCCCCTCCACCGTTGCGTCATCCCGCCGCTAGGCTGGAATGGGTGTGGTACTCATTCGAGCTTGTGTCCTGCCGGCACGACACCACCCGAGTGACGGGACCAACTGTATCACTTCGCCGCGTGTTCTCCCGCATGATTCCAACATCGTTCCTTGGTCTTTTCATTTTTCTTATAGACTTCCCAATGCGGCGCACACCGCTAGCCATCCGCAGATCGCCAAGCTAAATCGAGCCGGCTGTTTGGAATCAGCCTTCCTCTGTTCGGAGCTCTGCCTTTGACTCAATGTCCTCAGCCTGCCCATGGCTTGTTGACTGAGCCAGGCGTTCATGTCAGCTATGGTTCCCACACATCTTGTATCTTGCAGTGTCCCGCTTACTCTCTCTTTATGAATAACCACCACCCTCGCCCTTCGTCTACATCTGCACACCATCCTACAGATTCGACTAACATCCTCACCAGCTGAGCCTAAAGATAACCTTACAGCGGCGGAAAAGGCCAAGCTCCGACGCCGGCAAGTACATAAGGCACAGATACAACACCGCAAGCGCAAAGCCAACTACATCAAGCAGCTCGAGCTCGACGTATGTCAGTTCAGGGACATGATCGCTGCCGCCGAGAAGGAGGTCATCGCCTTCCGGAGGCAAAACGAGAGTATGCGGGGCGCTCTGGCGGCCCGAGGCCTTGTCGTGCCTCAAGAGCTCAAGGGCAAGGAGGTCGTTGTCGACGAGGCTCGAGTTATGGGTTCTCCGAAGCCCGTGGAGGTGGCGCAGCCGGTAGCTGTACAGCAGCATGTTCATTCTCAAGCTCCAGGACAGCGCCAGTTTACGCCACAAATATCAGCGCCGCCTGTCATCCAGCAACAGCTTCTGGTCGCAGACCCAGAACCGCAAATGACGTTTCAGCCTCAACTCGCCAACGACAGCTACGAGTTCGACCCCTACCCGCCGGTAGACCTCTTCGCAGACATTGGAATGGGCGAAGTCATTGTGACGATGCGCAAGGACGACACCCTCGGCACACCGTGCTTCCGAATTGCCTCGTCGTCGCCGACCGTCTTTCACTCGCTGGCACCAGACCAGCTCACCCCGGAACAGGAGATCACCGCCATCAATCTGATCCTCGCGTGAGTTATCCCCTCTGGGCCCCTTTTCTTGACCACGTAGGAGAACACAGAAGACTGATTGGCAAGACAGCATGGAGCATATTTGCTGGGATCACTTCAACCCCCGCGACTTCCCCGCTCACGCCGACCCCTGCAAAGCCGCCTCGGGCCACACAATGATGGCCTCGACCATGTGCATGTCCAGCGCGCCCACGCGGGTTCACCGCAGCATCCGCCGCGGCGAAGCCGAGGACAAGACGCACACGTGGAGCGCCGACACGGGCACCGGGTCCGCGCTGTCGCTGAAGTCGCTGCTGGCGCTCGCCAAGACGCTGAACCCAGGCGACATCGAGCTGACGCCCGTGCAGGCATGGTTCGAGCTGGCGGCGCGGTACGGCACTGCGGCGCTCATGCGGGACAACGTCATCGAGGCGCTCAAGAGGGAGTTCTGCGGCGTCGTGACTTGCATCCACTTCGGTGCCATCATCGAGCGGGACGCGTTCGAGAGCGTGGTCACGAGGGTCATGGAACAGGTCGGGGTCAGCGGGCTCGAATGGGAGATGGACCTTGACCGCGAGGAGGCGGGGCTCGATATGGTCGCTGGGGCGCAGGGGATTTCTGCTTGATCCCTCCGATCTGGCCAAAGGTGAGGGGCTAGTCATGAGAAGGCGGATGTCGTTTAAAAGGAAGAAGAAGAATGAAAAGAATAAGAAAAAGAAAAGAAAGGGGGGGGGATGAAGGACTGCCCGCATATCTGAATCATGGGAGGGATGGGACAGAACAAAGGAGGATGGAAGCCGCTGTAGATACAAAATAAACACCGAGATTGAAGAGCTCATGATGAGAGTTTTTATCAGTTTCGCTTGACTGGCACATGTGCTGGACATCCCCGACGACAGAAGGCCCAGCGAAGCCTTCCGGTCGTCCCTGCAGAGGCCCCATTGAGAACCCAACGAGACGGGCATTGCCCTGCCTGCCTGACTGTCTAAAAGCAGTGAAATGACTACGCCTGCTTGGGAAGCGCTACAAGTGAAGTCGGAGGCCGGACGTGAGCCGCATTCCCATGATTGGCTATGTTCGAGACAGGAACGCTAGATCGCGGGGAGGGGGGTTCCGTCTGGAATGCATGTCTCCATTGTTGACTGTTCTTGTCCTTCTCCACTGGCTGATATACGGGAGTAGAGACGTAATGTAATGTACGTTGTATCGTGCGTTTTGTCTTGCATACACCCAAAGGTCAGCGTGCATGCCGGTCCTTTAGATTTCATTGCTTCACCGTTCGTCCCACCACAAACCACGTCAAGGCTGATACAAAACCGCCTCCTCAGATATGGGGTGGAGCTCGTTTTTCGATGAAGGGTGAGAACTCAAAGACGTCGGGTGATCTTGTGTGTCCCGGCCAGAGAAGGAGACAGTATCTATGGTAGAACATGGGTCCTATGGCGGCAACGGGGGAAGTATCGCGGCAAGCCTTCGTCGGTCTGCTCCGCTGATCAAGTCATTAGACCGTCTCGGTCGGGTTGCATCATTTCACAAGGCTCGTCAGACAAGAGATATATTACGTACTAATGGAGGAATTAATCTCTCAATCTCCATCGGCACCGACAAGGAAAGCCTCTACAGTATACGAACGCCCTCGCGGCCATATCTGCAAATAGAGAAGGGCGCTTCCTTCTGCAATCCACCGCCCTGGCCTTTGGAACTTGTATCTACGTGGGAAGAAGTACTGCCTAGATTCTGAATCTTCATGAAGGCATCGAAGAGGGTGCGTGAGTTGACTGGGTGGGTTCCCCTCTGATCGTCCCCACGGCCGAGCGTCTGATAGTTGGACCCTCTAGCCAGGTGGCCGATTAGCTTTGGGCAAAGGGACTTTGCTGATCGAAAAAAATGTAAAAAGACTGTGATATTGGGGGTTGGAGAGTCTTTTAGTATCTGAAGTCTATGCAGTCTCAGCATTATGCAAACAGCCAATATTGCCATGGGAGGCAACGTCCTCATACTTGCTAAGGGAACGAGGCTATCGAGTATGATCCCCAAGTGGTGCCATAAGGTGTCACATACAAACAAACACTATGCTTGAAAGCATGTCATATTGATAAACAATTACCGGGTGCGCTAAATCAGGGGAGTATCATCATTCAAACTTGGTCGAGCCTCGATAACCTCCGCTCCTCCTCGTGGTGCCTCTGATATACCTTACTCATTTCCTCCATATCCCTCTCGTGCTCTGCTCCCTGCCCGACGCTCCCGGTAACGTGGATACCGACGAACGGCTCTGCTTCGATCCTCGAAACCATCTTCCCGTCCTTCAGGAATAGCGCCGGGTGGCACCCCACGATAGCCAGCAGCGCGTAACAGACGAGGAAGCCCTCCAGCCCGACAAAGAGCCCCTCGCCGCCCATCGCGAGGGGGCCTCCCCAACCTTCGGCATACTCGGCGACGCGAAAGCACAGCCGCCCGAAGAGGACGAGCATGGCGGAGGGGACGGCGCCGGCGAAGATACGGAAGCGGCCCGTCAGGGGCACATAGCCGACGTCGCGGTGGAAGGTCGTGTAGCCGTACCGGTGGTGGGCGCGGGCGGCGCGCAGGAGCACCGAGGCGAGGAAGAGGCCCGTCGCCACCAGGGTCGCGAGCTGAAGGGCCAGGCCGGCCAGGACGATCCTGGCGCCGGCGGCGTCGGGGGCGTACGAGTCCCCGGAGGCGAGGGTGTACGGGACGTTTCGGAAGCCGACGGCTAGGCCGGCAACCTGGAGGAGGAGGGCGAGGCCGTCTAGAGGGAGGAGGATGACTGTGTAGAGCTCGGGCTTGACGAAGGAGTGCTCCGTGCCGAGTATCCGGACCATCGGCGCGAGACAGACGTATATGCTGCGATGGTGTTAGTCCCCTGGTGCTGCGCACACGCTAAAAGGGCTCGATGCGGGTGGAGAAGTACCTTGAAGTGACGAGCACGGGAGCGACTGTGAGGAGCGCCTTGCTCTGCATGAAGGGGTAGACGGCCCAGGGATCGCGCCAGCCGGCCATGCGGTCGACCCAGCCAAGCATCTCGAGCACGCATGCGAGCGTGACGATGACGGAGAAGGGCGTGGCGGTGTGCTGCCGCCGGGCCGACCGGGCGGCGACGGCGCCGTTGATGACGAGGCAGACCGCCGAGACGGTCGCGAAGATCGCGCTTGTCGTCAGCGAGGAGCGGAAGCCGTACGGGCTCTCGGAGACGTCGCACGTCGACAGCGTGCAGAGCGAGGAACTCATGTTGACGCTTCTTTGTTTTTCTTTTCTTTTTCTTTTCTCCGTGAGATCTCGAGTCTAGGACAGAGTTGTTGCGTCGTGTCGGGGTGTAATACGGACGGACCCGGACATTGGGATGGATGCCGGTGTATTGGTGCCTTTTAAACAAGAGCTAAGGGACGTCGAGAGACGAGAAGTGAGGTGACACGATAAAATTCACCTCCGAGTTTGAGCGATGCCGCCATGGTTATATGTGTTAAACAATCGCGTCCCACGTTTCTGTCTTGGACATGGTGGCGTTAACTGAAGATCTCCCCTCCCATGGCTTTCCCAGACAGTTGGGATCTCCAAAACCGGCACTATTGTGGCCATGTCTTGATCTTGCCCCCGGCTCCCGATGCCTGTGTTTAGAAACGGCTTGTCGGTGAAGCGTGTACGATGTGAAGTGGCAGTGCCCCGTGGTAACTGGAGCTTCGCCGGCTGCCTTGCGCACGGAAAAGTGGAGAAGCATTCGGGGGAAGGAGATTAGCGGAGACAGCACGGCCAGCTCCTGCTCCAGTGCGTTTTTAGGCACCCGTTCCCGGGGGGGCGGAGCGGGGCGACTGGGTTAGGGATCCGGGAGGGATGTTGTTGGAGCCATCTCCTCCGACCCAATATTTGTTTTAGGCTCCTTCTTGCACGCTTGCGTCCTGTTCAGCCCTCCTTGGCGACTCTCACCCAACACCGCGCCGCCTCAGCCCCCCAACCCCATCCGATCGCATGTCTTGGATCCACGTATCTGCTCTCCCTTACTGTTTACAGAGGGCTCTAATTGGTCTCATCCGTCTATAGTAATTGCCGCGTAGCGCCACAGCCGATCTGCTCGTGGACCTCAGACACCTTGTTGATCTTGGTGTCCGACATCGAGTTGTACCAAGTGGCAGCATCCACAGGCTTTACCGGACGAGAGTCGAGTTTCTTAAACCATTTCTTGTTCGGACTCGCCTGTAATTTTGCGATTCGTCTTATTATTTTCAGATCGTGACGAGACTATGGGTTTGATGTCTTCTGCCAGTCAAGCCTTCGGGCGTAAAATGACGCCATCGCGATGCCATTTGTTACACAGGTCTACTGTCAGATACAACAATGATGAGGGATCAGGCATATGTCGATTCACGTCGGTGAACTACATGTCAAGATGTCGGCCCGGTTTCACTCCAGGATAGCTACGCGAAACCTGCTTTCTTAGATTGCAAAACACATGTTTAATTCCAATCTTCCCCAATGCACAATCTTGCTAGCAAACAAGGATTGCCGGTACGGCTCTCAATAGACGCCCCGGATCACGCAATACGTCTTTATTGCGCGCGGACTCGAGGAGCGTGGGCCTAGAGCCTGATCCATTCGGCAGCTGGCTGGGCTTGGTGATAATGCCGACGGTACGCTGACTCTGCTGTTGCCATAGCGTTAGCATAGGTTTCCAAGATGCAGGGGTAGCTGAAAAGTGGTGTTCTGACTTCAACTCCGCAAAGAAAACTCCGCGAAGAAAACTCCCCGAGGCAAATGTTACAAACTCCGCAAGACAACCTACTGTTCTGAGGGACAATAGCCAGCCCTTATCAGTTTATTTCGTTATTGGAACGTAATGAAAACCTGATAACACTATTAGATATAAACAAAAACCCTATTAACCTTTAATAAGACGGATATGTATAGTTAATAACAAGAGCAAGTAAATAGACAATGCGCTAGCGGAGTTTACCTACCGGGAACACTGCACGAGACTTTTCTATTTGAACTGAGTAGCAGGCAAGGGGACTTCAGATAATATTTATTATGAGGGTGGTTATGTGAATAACATCTCCCGGTCTCACCAATAGACGTCAACCTTCCAAATCTTGATCTCTGGATTGAGAGGCTATACGTAACAAGTTTATTTCTTACCAACCTTTTACAAAAGACCCCGTATCTACGTCTCGAAACGACAACCGACTAAACGATATGGTAGAAACAGTTCTCGTATTTGGTGCTTCGGGCAACGTTGGAGTAGCAGCCATCATTGGAGCTCTCAGCTCCAACCGTAAGGTCCTCGCTATTGTCCGCAACCAAGCCAGCGCCGAAAAGATCTTCAGATACGTTGGCAACCGCGACAACATCACGATTGTAGAAGCAGACATAACTTCGGAAGACTCCGTACGAGGTGTCATCCAACGGGTCCGTGACGGGGACCTGCCATCTTTTCAGCATGTCTGGGCTTCGCGTAAGTTCAAGTCTGAATAGATATAAGCAGCTGGTGCCGCGTCTTATCTGTCCGTCGTATTCGAGGCTTACACTTTTTCAGCTGGTGGGCTCGCCTGGGAAACGCCTACTCTCGATCTCAAAGTTTCCGAGCTTCGGGAAATTATGACCGTCAACTTCGAGAATTACGTCAGTATGTGTTGATTATGTTACTTGAGGACCTTCGGTACGCATTTTCCCCTCGGTCACTCTGCTTTAGTTGCCTATAAAGCGATCATTCCCTATCTTCTCGAGCAGGGCTTTCCCGGCAGCATCTGGACTATGTGTACCGGTGCCGCAGGTGACATGGGGTATCGTCTAGCCCCAGCCGTGACACAAGGCGCCCTTTACAGCTTTGCCATCACGGCTGCCCGGGAAAACGAGAAGACAAACGTCCGGTTCAACGAGGTCTATCTCGCCCACAGGGTTCGCCTCGAGGTCGAGAAGGACAATCAAACCGTTGCAGGAATGCGAATCCCCCTCACAAGCTCCAGAGACTTTGCACCGTTGTATGAGAAGATTCTGAACAGGGCCGAAATTAGAAGTATTCAGGTTGAAGTGCGCGGTCCTGAGGATGTGGCGGAGATTTGCTATGCGACGGTTTTACGAGAGCTATGGGAGCTTTAGGGAGCTGGGACCTCCCGATCCGCAATACACGTTGGTGAAACCAACAGACCAGCGCTTACACATGGTAGCATCCATGGTAATTCTTATTCCTTAGGTCTTTGCGGACACCAGTGAACAAGATGGACGGGGAGAGTCCCTCTTCTTCTATATCAGAGAAGACACTGACCGTCAATGCGACCCCTCTTTCGCAGCCGAGAAATCGACGAAGCAAACAAACATGCATGCAGATAGACATATCAATGAATGTGATATCTCATTGATGAATGTGTGAGATGTCTAAATAATCACCTTCTCCTCGTGGGCTATGCTGGCACCCATGCCCGCAGTCCTTAGCCTTGTCCTTGTCAATAACTCTACTGCAACGTGTCGAAAGCCTCACGTAACATATGCTCTAGCCCATTATCCAGAACAAGTAGAAGAGAGGGAACAACAGTTGAGACAATAGCACCCTATAAACACAGAGTGCCGATTTTATTTTGCTTCTGTTGGAAGGACTGTAGATGGGTTGATGCATCAACAAAAGTGGCTGTAACTGGCTTCTGATTGTCTTGTTCTTGTATATGTCTAGTTGGCCTGGCTGGCTAGAAAGTGGCCGGTTTTATAGACCTTTAGGGTAACTGACTCATACGTACGAATCGGTCGACATGCTGTTCAACAGCTTCTATATCTTTCTTTTGACATCCCAATCCTCCATCAGGCACAGGCGGCGCGCCATGACGGTTGGCGGGGTCTCTATGCGTTGGTCTTCGCCCTTCGCTTCTCAATCTTGGCGAGCTCCGCGTCAATCTTCTTGAAGCTCCAGCTCTTCCAGAAGGGGGGGTACAGGAACGGGCGGAGGTCGAATCTGTTGTCGTCGGGTGCTGTTTCTGCGGTTAGCCGAGACACCATGGGAGCGGCAAAGGGCTTTTTTATTGTTACTTACAGTAGTCGTTGCAGTGGAGGGCCGGCGTGAGTGTCGTCATCTTGTGTCCTGTATCCTAGTTAGGTCTTCCGAGTGGCAGCGCAGCTTGCATTCTCCGTCGACTCACTGTTGATGGCGTAGAAGTGGAAGAACTTCTTGACCTTGTCTGCGGTCTGGCTGGGCTCATACGCGGGGGCGTCGTCCTCGGGCCCACGCTTGCGGTCGACGCTCCATTCGTGAACGAGGCGCTTGAACATGCCGTACGGGCCTAGCTTATTGACTTTGCGTAGGCGGCCCATGATGGTCAGCTCCTGGTAGGTCATGCCCATGTCTACTTCGTCGCTCTGCACGTATGTGTCCGAGATGGGCTCCTATACATGCTCGTGTTAGTGGATGTGTGCTTTCCCAGGATGCATAGTTTGTGCTGTGGCCATCGCGTCTTAGCGTGGCGGAGACAGCAGGGTAACATACGAGCTCGGCAGTCGGAACTGCAGTCAGGAAGTCATGGAGACAGGGAATGTTGAAGTCCTTCTCGGCCCAGGCGATGAAGCGCTTGAGGTCGGCCTTGTCGATGGAGCCGATGGGGTTGATGTCGGCACCTAGAGCAGGTTAGCCCAGTCTCAATATCGGCCATCTTCTCTGATGGTAGGGATTCGTTATGCCAGTATCGCTTTTATCCCGGCAGGGATGGGTGACTGGGTTTGCAGGTTTTCCGGTATAATGACTTACTGGAGCAGTCGTATCTGCGTCCTGGTTAGCTCTTGTCTTCACACTACTCGTCCAACGTGGTGTTTCTCACTTGGTAAAATATCCTCTGAGGGACTGCGAAAGTCAGTAATGGCACAGGAGCAAACTGAGTCGGTAAACTCACCTCCCCGACGTTCGCACTGCCCAAAACGAGCAGACCGCCGCCCCCAGGCCTGCCGCGGGCCGTGGGAAGAAGCTGCCCAAACTCGTACGCAGTGACCATGCGGATCCGCGCCTGGATGCACTGCAGCGTCAGATTCTCCTGCTGCGTGCCGCCCTCGACCTTGAACCTAGGTTCGAAGTTGAGAGCGCTGACGGCGAGGCTCTTCTGCGCATTGTAGACGTCGTCGATGTCGAGGTTGATGTGGTAGCTGCCGATGGCCTCGGCGAGGTCCTTGGCGCGCTGGCGCGTCTCGGCCGAGCTTTGCGTCTTCATACCCATGTAGATGGTCGAGAAGATCTGGTTGCAGAGGGCCTGCGGGGTCTTGGGCAGAACGCCCTCGCCGTCGTACTTTGCGAGCCGCTTCACGTCTTCGATCACCTGGGCGTTACCCTCCTCAACGGCCTTGATGACGATGCGGCACATGGAGAAGACGATCGCTTCGGTGGGTTAGCGGTGTCTCGATCTCGGGGTGGCTGCATGGAGGGGGACTTGCTCGCTGTGGCACAGGAGTCGATTCCTCCGCTCAGGGGTACCAGGTAGCCCGCGGTGCCGGACCTTCGAAGGTACTAGTGATGATACCGGAGTCAGCGAAGCAAGACGAGAGGGCTAGTTGAGTCTCTTACATCCCAAAGATAACAGCCAGCACAGAGGGCAATCTCTTCCTCGACGGAATAGAACTTTGGCTTGATAGGGGGCGAGGGGGTAATCATAATGTCGGCATCTTCGTCCTCGGAGCTGAGCTCAAAGGGGGTCTGGATCCTCTCGTACTTGGCGTCGGAACGCGCAGCCTGAAGACCACGAGAGATGGCTGACCGATAGGCTCTGACCTCCTCCAGATCCACGGTGGCAGTAATGACCTCAACATCGTTCAGACTGAACTGGGAGCCCTGGGCGACAACTTCGCCGTTGACGAGAATCATGGCAGAGCCGTCGTAGTAGAGTCTGTCGCCATCGCAGCCCTGCTGGTTGGCGTAGAGGTAGATGCCTCCGCACTTGCGGGTGGCCTCGGTGATGAGCTTGAGACGGGTGTCAAGCTTCTGCAGGGTGAAGTGCGAGCCGCTGGAGTTAGTGATGATCTCCACGCCGTCAAGGCTCATGGCGATATGCGGAGCGTTCGGGGTGAACAGCTCCTCCTGTTCACGAGTCAGCACCAACATGACGGATGCTGCCACGGCCCTCTGCAACTTACGCAAGTCTCAGCACCAAAACACGTGTCGGGAGTTGAGACCACGGCATCGCCAAAGACGACATGCGTGGCGCCCTGGATCTCCTGGATGATGCGGGGCAGATGGTACTGTTCAGTCTGGCGCGGGTGCATCCAGGGGGTGAAGTGACGCATCTCGCGGTAGTTGCCGTCATTGGCGAGCCACATCTTGGGGCGGATCATGAGGATCTTTCCATCCAGGCAGAGAATACGGCAGTTGAAGCGCTGGTTGCGGTGCTGTACCGGCATGCCGATGTCGAGCAGGATGCCGTGGCAGGTCTCGTCGAGCAGGATCCGGCGCAGCATCTCGAAGCAGTGCAGGTAAAGGTCCTGCTCGAGGAGATGGTCCAGACATCCGTAGCCGCATATTTCTAGTTCCTGGGTTGGAGGTCAGCCGGGTTGATCACTTTACAGGAGCTCATGTCCGAGTTGAATGGTTTGCGACCAGCCAGCTTCATTGCGGCATGGTTGCAGATTCAAGGCAAGACTTGAAAACACTCACAGGCCCAACGCGCAATCGCGCACCTGCAGCCTTTGCTTTTTGAATACTCTCAACAATGCGAGCAGCATTGCCTTCCCACTAAAGCGAAACCTGATTAGCGTTTACCTCCAATATATCTCAACCCGCGGGGATCGCAGCGCTCGAGAGTTGCGAGACTCACGTCCAAGGCCCACTGATTCAGCGAGCAAGTCGCCACCGTAACGAGGTGCCCCATGTCGTGAGATGAGTTGTCCCGACTCTGACGACGAGTTAGACCAGTTTTCGTTGAACGCAGTTTGGCGAGGGACTTTTTGGCCGCAGCTCACAGTTAGGTTAGAAAGCGGATCTGGATGCCCCTCGCGTGTAGTCGAGATAAGATTCAGTCGTTGGGACGAACAATGACTCGTCCAAAAAAAAAGAATAATCGGATGAGCCCGAGAGTCCCGGTGGAAAACTATGGCACTCAGTCGTTCCTCAAAGATTCGCTTCTTGGGCCTCTCTTCAGATGGTCGGAAGAGCCTTTCCTGTAACTCGGGGAAGTCTCGGACAGCTGGGAGGTTGAGGCGTGAGCTCCAAGTGCGGAACCCCCAGCAAGTGTTGCTAGCCTCTCGTGCGCTATCGGATGTTAGTGTTTCGCCGACTGCACGGCAACCTCTAACACCGATCATCTGTACATAAACACTCACTTGGAACTCGCAGATCCTTGTGGGCTTAATGAACATCAACACTATACGTTGAAAAAAAGTGAAGATAAAAAAGTCTGGAAAGAATTATGGAAGTATAGCTTTAAGAAGACATATCTTTCGTAGAATAGCAATTCGTAAACTGGCAGTAGGTAAGTCTTTCCAGGTGCAGTGATACATTATCGCCGCAACCCCTGTTCCCCCCGCCATTGACCCTAGCACTTCGGCGCCTAGTCAGCACGCATGCTGGCATTTGCCGGCCGAGCTTCCCCCAAACTTACCCCGGCACTGGCGCCAGCCTCCCAAAGCGCCTCGGCTCAAAGCTACCCAACTGCCAAAACTCCAACAACCCCGGCTTCGCAACCTCTCCCACCGTTCACGATATCACGACGCCACGACCCTTCCCGACGACGAGATACGATAATCCCCTCACGCCATCGAACCTCCCCCATTTGCAGCCCCTTCCTGAATCGAGCATTTCGGCATCTGAATTCCTCCTGCCCATTCTCCGGAACCCCACCGCCCAGCGCGCAATGCGCACGAGCAACCCTCCAAAATGACATCCGAATCATCACCATCACCACAACCCCCCGCCTCCTCCTCCTCCTCACAGCACCCGACGCTCCCCTCGTCACCGTACCCCTACGCCTCCGCCCCAGACATCATCCGCGCCCACCAGAAGGATGCCTACTACAAGGGCCACCTCTCCAACACACTGACCTCCCTCCACCGCCTCCTCCTCGGCGCCCGCTCCGCCCACGCCTCCACGCCCCTCCACCGCCTCGTCGCCGACACCCTCTACCTTGGCCTCACCACCCTCCCCGGGAACCGCACCCTCGGCGAGGAGTACTGCGACCTCGTCCAGCTCCACGTCGGCGCCAACGACAACGACGACCCCGCCGGCGCCCTCCCGACCCTGCCCCGCCGCGCCGCCTACATCGCCACCTCCGTCCTCCTTCCCTACCTGCTCGGCCGCCTCCTCCCCGCCGCCCGCGCCCGTCTGCGCGCCGTCCTTGAGCGCTCTCTCGGCCCCACCGCGAAGCTGAGCGACGCCTCGTCCGCGCCCGCGTCCACATTCGCGTCGACGCGGAAGATCCTTGCCGCCTACCTCCTCGCGAACCTCCCCTCCCTCACCTCCGCCGCGCCCCTCCACGCCGCCACCCTCGCCGTCTTCTACTTCACCGGCACCTACTACGAGCTCGCCAAGCGCGTCCTCGGCCTGCGCTACGTCTTCACCCGCCGCGTCCCCGACTCCCCCGACCGCGCCGGCTACGAGGTCCTCGGTGTCCTCCTGGTCGCCCAGCTCGCCGTACAGTCCTACCTGCACATTCGCGCCACCATCTCCGACCTCTCCTCTCAGGTCTCCGCCGCCCGCGTTGCTGCCGCATCCCGCTCCCGCGCGGGCGGCCTCTCCCACGTCGACGTCTCCCTCGACGCCAACGCCTACGCCGCCAATACCAGCGTCCTCCTCGCCTCGGAGGCGACGGCGGCGGCGACAGGCGGCCCCGGCGGCGGGACCAGCAAGGTCGACATCGTCGCCGTGACGCACACCCCCGTCGCCGCCCACGGCGCGAGGTTCGACCTCGAAGACGCCGGGGTCATGGCGTACATCGCGGGCGCCGCGCAACGCAAGTGCACGCTGTGCCTGGAGGAGCTCAAAGACCCGTCGGCGACGCAGTGCGGGCACGTCTTCTGCTGGACGTGCATAGGGGACTGGGTCCGCGAGAAGCCCGAGTGTCCGCTCTGTAGGAGGGAGGCCATGGTGCAGCATATCCTGCCGCTGCGGGTCGCGTAGCTGGGTCGGTCGGTCGGTAGGTATTGGTGGCTATTTCGCACAGCGCGGTGATTGGGCATCATGTACTATGACTACTACATTGGCTTCTGCGATAGCTGTGCCAGGATATGGCGTATGATCGCTCATCTATAATCGAGTTGGGAAGAGTGTGTGGTGGGCGTGGGCGGCATTTGTATAAAACAAGTATCTATTCAACACGGCTGGGTTGTGGGGCTGGGCCTTTTCTTTCTTTCTTCCATCAACGACTCAAACGACATCTGCGCGTCGGATTTGTAGGGAACTCGGAAAATGATGTATATATATATATATATACCATAGAACAGAGGTGCTACACACTTTCTCTCCCTCATTCCTACCTCGACTAACCTTGCCCCTCGTCCAAGTGCTAGTAGATAATGCAACGCGAAAATAGGTATCGGTCGAACGCTCCTACTCAGTACAGACAAGATTCAAAGAAAGGCAACTCCATTTTGCCGTCCCATGCCACGCCCATATGGCTTAATGAAAGCTCAAAGAGGAGCATATGGTTGCGGGTGGGTAAACGACGAAATCGGGGTCGAGGACGGGAAAATAAGTTCGAAACAAAAAAATGCATCAACTCGAGTAAACCTGACCTTGCCGGTCAACCCCCCGCCAGTTCTCCCCCAGCCTGTTTCCCTCCAGGTTTCCGATGGCTCTCATCCATCATGTAGGTATCATGTGCCAAAGTGCATTCGAGCATTAGCATGGGAATATGAGATGAAGAAGAAAAAAACAACGCTCGAACTCCGTATCCTGTATGAGTTTCAACACCCCCCCCCCCATTGACCTTGTCCGACCTAGACAATGACCGGACAGCCCGATCGCCTCGCTACACTCAAAATCACGACGGGTCTGTGTTTAACAACACGGGGCTCAGGCCGTGAAGAGGACAATCTCCCCACGATCGTTGTGCTTGAGACGCAGCGACCGCCATAGCTCCTTCTCTTCCGAAAGCTTTCCAAGGCTATCCTCGGACTCGGAGCGCTCGCGGTGGAAGCGCTTGAGGGCCTTATTCATGCTGCAGCCGCGCTCGCTCTCGGGGCCCTTGTTGACTAAGGACAGGAAGAGGTCGGCGCGGGGGCGGTAGACAATCATCTGCCCTTCGCCGTCACCGTTCTCGCCCTTCTTGCTGTCGCGAGAGCCCGGGCGATACTCAATCAGCTTGGGGGGCTTCTCGCTGTCGGGCCGGTGGTGGCGGGAGTGCTTCTTGGTGGATGACGAGACCTTACGTTTCTTGGTCTTGGTCTTGGTCTTTGTCTTGGCACCGTTCATGTTCAGCATATCGAGGATGTTGCTGCCAAATCCGTTCTCTTTCTTCTGCTTCGAGCTTTTGGTCTTTTTGAGCGGGCTGGTCAGGCCTGGGTCGGCGACGTCGCCGCCGGAATAGTCGGGCGAAGGCGGGAAGACGGGACGCATCAAAGTTTTGAGGCCGCCAGTCAAGCCCGAGTGAGCCAAGGCGGGAGGGGCGTCAACCATCATCTGGTCAGTGTCAACGTGAAGGCGCTTGCGTTTCTTGTCTTTCTTCTCGCTGCCATCTTTTCTTCTCCGCTCGTGCTTCGGGGCAGGGGTCTCGTAACCCATGGGAATCGGTCCGGTGCCATATTGCACGAGGGCATGTCGGTCCCCGTCGACCATTGCACCGTCGTCATCCAAGTAAGCTTCGGCATCATACTCGTAGCGTACAAGCTGTGTTTCCTCGGTTGGTTCCTTGGCCCCCAGAGTAGACGCATTGGGTGTTGCAGACGGATCGAGGAAGTCAAAGACGTTGACGTTGCCTTCATTGGCCGAGGGGGGTGTTGGGGCCTCAGGGAGGAGTTCGGCGGGCGAGTTACCGTTGTCGCTGGCCTCGTACGGGAAGGATTCGAACTCGGCGTCGGGGACCTCTTCGACGTATGCGTGTTGAGCCATGGCGCCGTATTGGTGAACGGGGGCGGCCTGAGGCTGGTTGTTGTTTGTCTTATTCTTCTTGTTGCTGTGGTTGTTCTTTTCCTTGTAGAGAGCGCCTTGATACTTTTGGGCTTCGCTCATACAGCTCTGTCACTGGGTTAGCACAAGAAAAGATCCAATAGCGACCATCACAGCCAACAGATTGAGCGGGCAGGTGTAACTTACGGTATGGAATCGATATTCAGTGCCAGGAAAGTATACCATGCAATCGATGCAGGTAAAGGTGGCGCCTCGACAACGGTTCCTGTGGGGATCGAGCTTCTTCTTGGTCAAGACATCACCACACGACTGTGGCAAAGGAAGACGGGTCAGTTGTGTTGCGCAGGAAATGATCAAGGGGTTATGATTCTGCGTGTTCGAAGAGGGGTTGTATGGTATAGTATGGTCTGGGAGGCGAGGGAGGAACGGGACGAGACACTGGCTATTAAAGACGGCATCCAAGGGGGGAGAAAGGTGGGAGGGGTGTTTGTTTCTGTTGCTGGAGGGGTGTGGGTGTGTCCGTCATGTCTTGCAATGGATGGGAGGTGTGTGTGGTGCAAGGATGTGATGTCAGGCCCCCGAGTTTATAATAAGACGACATGGGGATCTTCGGGGGTGCTGCAGACGTGGGAGTACAGAGAAGAAAGGAAGGGGACCCTGGGTTTGGGGGGCGGCATGGGAAAAAGCGGCGGGAAAAAGAGAGGGCGAGGGCTTACCTCACACGAGAAGGATACCATGGTGGTGAAGGGAGCGACGCTGTATGATGATGCGCTGTCCTTGGAATGGGATCTTATTGGGCGCGGACGTTGGGCAGAGAACGGACTCTGACTGGGTCGCGGTATTTAACGGAGGTGAAAGGGAGGGCGACGACGATAATGGGAGGCGAAGAGGGAGGGTGAGCGTCTCTGCTGCTGGGTTGGCGTATACAGTTATGTCGGTATGCAGAATGCAGTCGCCTGACTGGGGCCGGGCTGGTGGGCTCGGGGGATCGTCGAGAAGTGGACTGCGAAATGCAAGCCGGGTCGTGCCTTGTACCAAGAGAGGGAGGAATAGGGCTAGCTGGGACGAGAACTTTGGGGGGCCCTTTTGGGGAAACGTAGTTTTGAGATGCTGTCAGTCGGTAGCGGCGGTGCCAGAGACTAGCGGGATTGATGGACACTGCCCCGTGGTGGTGTGCTCGACGGCTGATTGTGCGTGTGGGATAGAGTATGAGAGAGGGAGAGCGGGTCGCAGTCTGGCAGCGGTAGAAGGAACCAAGACTACTAGGGGATGACAAGATGAGACGAGGAACTCTCTGCGCAGCCGGGGAGCACAAAAGCAATGATCCCAAAGGGCTGTTCAGCTCTGAGATAGGTATCAGGGGCTCCTCACTGTGTTGGTTTCGCGTCTCGAATAACGGGAATGTGCCGTAGATCTCCAATGTTGGAGTACCTTGTTCGGAAGGGCCCAAGGGGGCGTCTCTGACAAGGGGGGGTGAGAGGTTGCGTTTCGGGCTTCAGGTTTGTGTTGGAAAAGGAAGAGAGTTGCGAGGCCCTGTAAGAAGTAGGGGGGGGGGGGGGAGCAAGCTACTGAGGGCGGCAGCGCAGGAACGCGGCACAATTACTGTTTGTCCTAGACGGGAAAGCGGATTGTGACCGGGTCACAAAGGCACTGCAGGATGTTGCAGCGAAGCAGAGCGCAGAGGAGCGACTAATAAGACTGGGAATTCCAGAATCTCGTGGCTGGATTGAAAGCCGAGGGGAGTCTTGGGGCTGGATTGAGTCCGAACGTGTATGTGAGCGTGGGCGTGTTGCGGACAGATGAGGAAGCGACTTGGAGAAATTGGTGGCGGGCGTGTCGAAATCGAGGGGCAATAGCGCGCCAAAAGGCTTCTTGTGGCCAAGGGGGGCGATCGGCCGTGCTGAGGATTGTTGGACTAATGAATGATGAGATTTACTCTGGTATTATCTCGTCCGAACCGGGCAGCTTCTTGCGTGTGCCGAGCAGCTGGATCCAAAGTTTACGTCGACGGGAACTTGGGAAGGGAGAAGGTGGGAAAAAAATTAAAGAGATGAGCAGCGGTTGTGGTTTGAGGCAAAGGAGAAGCTGCCTTGTAAATTCTAAGCAAACAAAGTGGAATCGGCCGAAACCTTTTGCATCGAATTTTTCCAAATGTGTTTTTTTTTTTCTTTTCGTCTCGCACTTCTGGCACTCCCTTTCCGTTTCCCACCTCTGTTTTCTTACCGCGTGGGGGGGCCTGGAAACTGGAGTGTGCATCTCAGTCGGGCAGCTTGACATATCGCTTCTAAATCCACACCCCGGATTCATTGTTGACAGACGGTATCCCAGGGGAACCAAGGTCATTCAGCAGCATAGAATGGTCTTGATTGGCCCAATGAGTCCGAACCCAAGAGCTATGCCTATGTGATTGGCCGAAGACCATGTGGCGTTGGATCTCGTATCAGCCAATTGCCGTCTAGAGAGTGAGAACGGTGGGGGTGGTTGCATCCGTCCGCCTCACTCCTGTCGCTGACTGACGGGAAGACGGACGGTGGGCGGGAGCTATGGAAACGTCCTTTCGCACAATGCGATGCGGACCGTTATCATCTCTCTCCATCTCTGTGTGTCGGCGCAGCCCCTAGATGTATGAACCCAAATCGCACAATGCGCTTCACCTGTGTTGTCCATTCTGCAGTAGTGGATCGCCCCCGCGCTTCGCTCGTATCTCCTCAAGGAAAAGCCGAGTGGAAATGGGGAGAGGAGCTGATGCAAAGCTAGAGCTGCGGTCTCGTTGCGGCGCCGCATGTCCCAAGCCGTTGTCCGCTAGCGACTGGAATCTAGCTGTCTTGGCTGCTAGTGCTGCCCCGGCCCCGGCGCAGGCACTTTGGCTGTAATGCCTGTTCTTCCTTCCCTCAGTTACAGTGCCTACTATGTATGCATCGCCGTCCGTTCGAGTGCGCGACCACGCATGGACCACGGCATGGCCGATACGGTAACATGGGGCCGACCCGATGGGGGGGGGGGGGTCCACGATCTCGGGCGGCAGGTCGATGGAAGTGGCCTGCCATTCGTCTTCCCATTCCGCTCTACTGCCGTTTCACAGTAAAGAGACAAGAACCCCCTTGCTTGGCCGACAGGAGCCAAGGGAGGTAGACGAAGGAGACATCGACGGGTTCCTTACCTTCTGTCCTGGGGGCCGAAAGCTTCCGTCTCTGCTTCGAAAACTGGGGCCATGTGCCGATGCCTTTGTCCTCGCGCATCCCGACTTCAACCACTCTTACACGACTCTGGGACAAGGTACGGCCAGGGTCATGCAACACCGCCAGACCAGGGGAGGGCTAGACGAGGCCAAACGACAGGCTGCTGTTCCTGCCCCTATCCGTGATGGACATCGCCGCGAATCACAGCAGATGACGACGATGGTCCCAAAGGCATGGAACGGCTGCTGCCGCCGTGTTGGGCCTCGACCTTGCCCGCGCAGCTTCGGGTGCCCGTCACATTGTTTTCGGTGACGTTGATTGGCGTGCTACATGACAGCCCCCATTTGGTAGTGCATCGCCAATTTGTGCAAGACGGCCAAGGAAGTCTTCAGCACCGCCGTCGCCGCATCCCTCCAAAGCGCGCGTCTAAGTTGACGAGTGATGCAACGACCGACGTTACGTTGGTGGTGTGGACGATGACGGGCAACGGACAACGGGCAGCAGCTGTTGGGATTGCCTTTGCTGCACATAAAGCATGGACTAAAATAGACCGGGGAGCTGTTCCTGATCCCGCTCATCAGAGGGGTCTGTGGCTCTGCTGGTTACTAGTTGTATGTATGCCTCGCCCTTTGGCTTGGGGGGGAGGTACATAGGTTTGCTGAGAGTCCTTCGTCGTTGCCTTTTCCTCCTTTCTTTTCCCCTTTGCCTATACTGCGTTGGCGTCTGGGCACACACGTTCCTTTGCCCCCTCCCCCGGACAGGTGGCCCCCAGCGTTGGTGACGAACAGACGCAGGAAATCGGATCATGTGATGATGGTATTGGAGGGTATTGGAGGGGGCCACTGATATCTCTGGTATGGGGATGTTGAATGACCTGCAGAGCCTGCGAAGCAGGTTTGCTCTGCAGGCAAGATGATGCCATGGCAGCGAATTGGACGGCTGGCGACAAAAGCTACTGCCGTTAGGGAAACGACAGTGTGTCATTCGTTGATAGCTATTGGAGCTATTCGTACGGATACAGTCAGTACAATTTCGAACATTACTCAAAACGGGCCAAGACGACAACATTGAGCCCCTTGCCGGTTGGTACCTTTGCCCAAAGTAAACTGTAATTTTTGTTTTTGCGGGCGTCTTCCATTACCTTGTCTTGTTTTGGATGCTCTATACGGAGTACCTTGGGGACTTAAAGCCAGCGACTGGGATGAATGTCTCTGCTGGTGTGGATAAAGGGTCGGCTCAACAGCATTAGTCTCAGCCATGCAATGTCTCGAATGTCGTCAGGAGCTCGGGCTTTGCGTCGTCGCTCTTCCCCATTTGCCCAATCGTTAGTTCCCGCTAGATCAGCCCACAACGTCCCTCCAGGCCCGAAATTAGCAACTGGGGATGGAGGTGGTATTCATACCTCCCTAGGTACCTTACCTACCTACCTAGGTAGGGACTTACAGACAGGTAGGTAACTACCACCATGCATACCTATACACTATGGGGAAGGCACTCAACTCCCCTCACCAGGTCTCGCGCTTTACAGCTCCCTTCCCTGTCACGACGCGGCGCCTTTGGAAAGAGCGAGCGAGCGAGCGAGCGACCTTAGGACATGCATGCCCATTGCCCGTTCATCTCTCCCCCCGAATTGGGCCAAGATGCACACAGCTCAACAGTTGTAAACAACAAGATGGAAGGTGCTTTTCTCATGGACGCACTTTCTAGGCACACAACATCGCGGGTTCTAAGTAAGCATTGTCTCAATAGCACAAACGCCGGCCAATAAACCGCTACCGGCATTGCCGCCGTCGCGATGAAAGGGTTGTTTATTGATTCATGCAAACCGCGTTTTGCAAGCAAGCGCAATGAAACCACACGCAACCACCAACGCGTCTCTGCTCGTGACGTAGCGGGACCGTGTCCAGCCAACCAGCTGTCCCCGGTCGGCATCAGAAACTATTCATGCTTTGCAAGTAAACTATTAATGCGGCCGCGTATTACTGGTATATAGAAGTATCGTACGGAGTACTATGTTGTGTACTGTAGGTAGGTAGTGTGGAGGCAGGCTCACCCGTCCACCGCTTCCTTTCCTTCCGTACATACTCCGTAGTACCTATGTGCGGCTTCCTCCTCCTCCACATTTCATTGCCGATCGCATTGACCTCCTCGTATGCTCACCTTCCTACCGCTCTCAGCATCCGCCACCCGGAAACGCCATCTGGTGGGTGGACTGCGAAGCAGCCCTGTGCGAGCAACCAAGATATCAGATCATCTGCCGCATCGACACGCCTTGGAAGTCTCCCTTGGGCCCAGTTTCTGAGCGCTTTCCGGCCTCATCCCGCGTCCTGGACAGATCATCATCTGCACTGACGCCGCAACCACCTCTCTGACAGTGGTCGGTAAACGATCGTCGGCCATCCACCCATCCATTCCGGCCGCATGGCTGCCGAATCCCGTCTCAGGGTGATTTCCTTCTGACCTACATCATGTGGGCCTGCCAAGCATAAAAAACATACCAACGCCGCCCGTCTTCTGTTGTTGATGCTCCCGTCCATTTTGGGGTCCAGAGCTGGTGTCAACTCTATCAACTTTCACGACTGGCCGCAAACCGAAACACGGCACCTCGCACAGGACGTCGGTCAAGACTCCTGAGCGTAGGCAGCTCAAGCCGCACCCAACTCGAGAGTACATGATACATTCCGATTCCTGGCGCCCCGGGTTTGTCTTCATCGGTACCTCGTCTTGGTCAACATACGGATACAGGGTCACCGACAGATATAAGTCTGCTGCAGGCCTAACCCTGCTTCGTCGTTCGTCTCTCGATTCGTCCTGCCCACGTCTGTCGCTCCGCCAGTCAGGGTCCCCAAACGCCCTCACCGGGGCTTAACACCGCAGCAGTACCCGCCTGGATCCAATTTGCCCTCCGGGGTACCTGCGTCCAGCTAGCATCGACCGCGCTGCCCAGCGGCTCCGCGAGCAAGGCTCCGCTCTCGCTCCAGGATCGGCTCTGCACCGCTTTCCTCGCTTCGAGCCTTGCCTTCCCCACAAGCAGGTCGGACCCCATTCCCCTCAAGTGCGCTCCAGCAACCACCACACCAAAATATAATCGCTCTTCCACCTTTTCCCTTCAGTCCCCGGCCTGGCGACTCGCCTTTCTTCCCGCGATGTCCGCTCCCACTTCTTCGTCGTCGTCTTCCAGCAGTTACCTCGAGCAGGCGGCCTCTATGCTCAGTACTGTTGGCGCGTACATGCGGCTTCCAGCCATAGCCTCGACGGTATGGCCATTCCCGCCTCCTCGTCCTATGGACAACCTATCTTCTCACACCGATACTTCAGTTTTCCTGTCTGCTACCCCTCCTCTCGAGCATTCGCCCGAGACCATGGCCCAACCGCCTTCTTTAGTGGTCTAGGCTAACATCTTCGCCACCTAGGGCATCGCGGCCGTCCTGACTACCCTCCTTTACTTCAAGCAAAAGTAGGTCCGCCCCCAAGTCCAGGTGACCGCGGTCCCCACCCACATGGCTAACCTGACTGTGCGCACTGCAGGGCTCTAATCTACCCCTCGCATATGCCCGCCAACTCTCGAACGGACGTCCCAAGACCCTCGCAGTATGGCATTAAGGATTTCGAGGAACTGGTCATACCCACAAATGATGAAGAGAAGCTGTCGGCGTTCTACATCCGGGGCCCGCGCGGCGGGAACAACTCCAACGTCACCATCCTCATGTTCCATGGAAATGCCGGCAACATTGGCCACCGTCTGCCCATTGCCCGCATGCTTATAAACTTTATCGGATGCAACGTCTTCATGCTCGAGTATCGCGGCTACGGCTTATCGACCGGAGAGCCCGACGAATCTGGCCTTTTTATAGACGCGCAAACCGCCCTCAACTACCTCCGCTCTCGCGCAGAGACGAGCAAGCATAAGCTGATTATCTACGGACAAAGTCTAGGCGGTGCCGTCAGTATCAAGCTAGTCGCCAAAAACCAAAAGGACGGGGATATCGCCGGGTTGATCTTGGAGAACACCTTCCTCTCCATGCGCAAACTGATACCCTCCGTTATACCGCCGGCTAAGTATTTGGCTCTTCTGTGTCATCAGGTGTGGCCGAGTGAATCGCTCATACCCACCATCACGTCCGTGCCGATCCTGTTTCTTTCGGGGTTGCAGGACGAGATTGTACCGTAAGTGCAGCGTACCCCTTATTTCCCGTTCCCCACCACCCATATGATGATCTAAAGTCACCACCCACAAAATATGAGCCTTTTGGGGCGCTTGATTTGAACTCACGACATGAGTCTGATATGGTTTTCTCTACCCCGGTTATTTGTGTGTCTCACTTGTTGCCTTTTTGGGACTGACGCTCGTCACAGACCCCGTCACATGCGCCAACTTTACGAGCTCTCTGCCGCGCCCACAAAAATTTGGAAGCCCCTGCCCGCGGGTGACCACAACTCGAGCGTGCTGGAGGAAGGTTATTTCGAGGCCATTTCGGACTTCCTCGAGAATTTCACCGGCGTCACGAGCAAGGAGGAGAAGCAGCGCCTTTAGGAGGGGTCCGCGAAAGCCGAAGAACTGTTCGAGAGGCACGTGGCGCAGATACTAGAGGAAGAGGCGGACCAGGAATCCGTCTTCACTGCCGTGTCCAGGCTACTACGCTGTCGGAGCCCGCCTCTCCGGCCGGCTGAAGACGGGCCTGTCCGGACTTGGCGACGGTGAGGCAGAGGGACAGAAACACGAGAGCTGGAAACGGTCATGACGACGGGCGCTCTCCTCGAACCTGCCAACCACGTCTTTGTTCCAGTCAAGAATGATACCCCCCCTCCGCTTCCTTCGTGGATCGGGATGTGACAACATATTGTATACGCAGTATAAACATAATGAAGCAATGAGTACAACCACTGAGACCCTCCCAAGAGTAGAGTGCGTGATGTGAGGCGAGGCGAGGCTTGAATGTCGACAGCACCCGAAGGTAAACGGCGCACTTGAACGGGGTCGGCGGAGAGGGCCAAGACAAGGGCTAACGGGCGGCGCATGGCCCTTCTGGTCATGTCAGACAGAGACGGTCGAGCTCGCCGGCCATGACGCAGATGGACCAGAAACCCGAGACTCACCACTGTTTGCCCCCCCCCTCATCTCGTTTTCATGGTCGTCGGGCGAGTCAACGGAAGGAAAGCAGGTACACGGTTATGAAGGCGAGGGCCGGCGGACGGACGCGGGGGCGACCGTAACGACATCGTCGTCCACCGGGACGGGAAGACAGGGGCTACCCTTGGGCGCATCCCGACGGGGGGGGGGAGCCCCTCCCGCCGCGCGGATTCCTCCCTCCCCTCGTGATCGCGTTCTGACGTGGCAGAGACGGATGCTTCGTCTGCGGATGTCGGGGCGCTTCGTTGTGCGAGACGTCGCTGGGGTTCATGGGGGAGATCTCGTATGGGAGCGGGCGGCGGGAGGCTGTCACGGGGGCGGTGCCGACGATATGTTTGTTGTCGGGCTTGAGCGTGGCGTCACGGCATCATAGAAGATGGACGATGGTTCATTTCTCTTCTTGGTTACTCTTTTTTTTGTAAAATATGGTGTTATAATTTTGTCATTCTGTTCTTTCTTTCTTTCTTTTTTCTTTTTTCTTTTCTTTTGTCTACCTGGTGGTAATCCGTTTACTCCTGCGGCTCGTAAGGCTCTCAGCACATCCAATCGTTAGACGATGCACTTCTCCTATACAGCATTCCATCTGCATGTGTCTCTTACTTGCGGGACTAAAGGCCTCGCCCACCATATCATTATCCCCATCGTCGAGAGGTGGGTGTGGAGAAGCAAGGCGATGACGCAGCCCAGGCATGTATCTCCCCTGCTCGCACCTCGTGGATGAACAACTTCCTTGGCCGAGTGCCATCCATCCCACACGTCGCCTCACTCTTCGCTGTCGGCTGCGGCTTCCCAGTCGTCCGCGACAGAGTCCTCCTCGGCGACCTTCTTCCTCGCCAGCCTCGAGAAGCTGACGAAGCCGCTGGCGGGGCGTGCGTCCACGGCAGGCTTAGGCGCAAGGTTCCTACGCGGCGCTGCGGCGCGTCCGACGACGGCATTCCACCCGCCGCTGCCGCCGTCGCCCGAGGACTCGCGGCGGAGAACGTTGAGGCTCGTGTCGGCGTGGACCATAGTCACGCCGGCGGCAATGCCTTCCTTGGTCACGGTCCGTGCGACGAGGGGCTTCAGTGACGCGAGGCTGGCCTCGACGGCCGAGGGCGTCGTACCCCACGACGTAACAGGGACGGCGCGGATGAGAATCTCCTCCGAGGGGAGGAAGGATGTCGTGAAGGAGAGGGTGTTGTGGGCTTTCAGGTGGCTGGCGAGGGCGGACTCGAGCTCGTCGATCGTCAGGCCGAAGCGCGGCGCTGCGAGCAGGAGGGCGTTGAAGGGTTCCAGCGCAGAGGCGGTGGCAGCTGAAGAAGACGCGGGCGCGGCCGAGGCGGCTGATTTGGCGGCGTCGCTGCGGATCTTGACGCACTGCGCCAGCGTCTTCTTGGGTGCCGAGACGAAGCGCGGCGTCTTGAATATGGAGACGTGACGGTGCGGCTCCGGGTCCTGACTCTCCGAGTCGAAGCCAAAGTCCTCTGCGAGAGCGTGCAGGAAGGCGCGCTGGAAGGACGGCATGGGCTTGAAGCGAAGGCGCTTCTCCGAGGGCTCCGAGGCGAAGACGCGGAACTCGCGTTCCTGGTTCTGCGCCCAGGTGGAGGAGAGCTCGCGGAAGAGCTTGAGGGTCGTGTCCGAATAGGGGATGTGGTCGTCCGTGTGGTCCGGGTCGACGTTGAGCGCGACGGCGAGGCGCTGGTTGCGCTGGAGGCGGAGGCACTCGTCGTCGCACTTGAGAGCGTCACGTTCCGGAGTCGGGTTGGTCTTGGTCGCGAGGCACTTCACCTCCTTCTTGCGGTGCTGGCAGTCGCAGGTGACAAAAGTCTTGCCCTGGCACGGCCGATCCTCCTTGCATGGATAGGGAGCATGGCAGGCGTCCTGGCACGAGTGGTCACAGGATTTGCGCGTCTTGCCGCAGGGTTGGGCGCAGTGAGAGCCAGGGATGTCGACATCCTCGCATTCGCCTGGGCGATGGCACTCTTTCCTGCAGGTGTGTGTACTAGAGTCTGGTCAGTATGTGTCGATTCCGGGTGTGATGTCCAGATAGCTTACCCGCACTTGAGCTTCTTGCCGCAAGGGAGACCACAACGGACCTCCTCCAACCAGCACGGTCTGTTCTTCATCCTCTGCTTGCCGCAAATACAGGCCTTCTCCACGAGGAAAGGACACTTGGGGCAGGGGACGTCGTCGGGGTGGCAGTTGTGCTTCACCGTGGGGTGTCCGCAAGGCGGTGCTCTCCTGCAGTCGAAGCGGCACTCAGGGGGTCGAGTGCCGCAAGGCTGGGGGGGTTGCAGGACGGTTCTGCCGCACGCGCAGCTGATCTCTTCGAAGACGGCCTCGAGACAGCTCGGACATGGCCCAGAGTGGCAGATCTGAGAGCACTGATGGGTTCCGCACTTCAACGTCCTTCCGCAGACGCGGAGGCAGATGTGTTCGGCTTCGACCTCGTCAGGGGCCTGCTGCTGTCTGTGCTTCTTCCGCGCGGCTTGTCTCTCGATAGCCTTCTTCTCCCCGGGGCAGCAGCGCTCGCCGCACTTGTGGCGGCCGCAGTTGAGCTGGGCCTGGCAGACTCTCATGCACATGGGCGTGGCGATCTCGCCCTGGTGACACAGAGAAGAGCTCACGGTTCGGCCACATCGGCAGGAGATATCCGCCTTCTGGAAGCAGGGGCTGCAGGGGCCGGTGTGGCATGTGTCGATGCATTTGTGGCCGCACAACAAGGTCTTGTCGCACGTCTTTTTGCAGTGAGGAATCAGGTCCTCACAGGATTGCCTCGGCCGATCGAGAAGCTCATCCAGAGGCGTCTTACCGCAAGGACAGTTCAAAACCACATCCGGGGCCGATGGACAATGAGCTGGTATCTCGTCCTGGGGGTGGCAAGCCTTCTCGCACTTGTGGAGACCGCAATCGTACTTCCTTTCACAGGTCGCGCCGCAGTCGAAAGATCCGTCGAACCAGCTGCCCTCGGAGACGTCTTCGGCGTCAGAGTTGGACACCTGCCCATAGTTGAATGACATCTGGAGGTCGCCGCGGCGGTCGCATGAGATTTCCTTATGCTCCTTTCCGCAGTAGCATCTTGCCTGCACGGGAACTTCGCAGTTGCCGCACAGGCCGGGATGACATGGGGCAGAGCAGAAGTGCTCGCCGCATGGCAGCAGGTCTACGCAGATCTCCTTGCAGCTCCATCCGTTGCCATAATCGGTCTCGCTGCATCGCTTCGTCACTTCATGCTTGCCGCAGAAGCAGGACTGCGTCGGTCCCATCAATGTGCATGGCGGACATGGGCCAGCGTGGCATTCAAGGGAGCATGGGTGAGGGCATGTCGCTCTGGGCTTCGAGCATGTCTGTCCGCAAGAGTGAGGAGGCAAGCCAGGGACGTTTCGAGGGCTGATATCCTTGCCGCACCAGCAATGGTAAGACGATGGCTCCTCGGTCAAACTGGAGTTGCAACCGGGGCAGCGCCAGGACCGTGTGTCGTCATCCTTCTTCAGCTGACTATTGAACCACTTCTTGACACACGTCAAGTGCAAAACCGTCCAACACAGCCCGCAGGACCATACTCGAGACGGCCGTAGCACTTCACTCGAGCAGATGACGCACTCATACTGTCCGTTACTGATGTCCTCATGAATCCGCGTTGGCAAGTCTGCAGCCGCAGACTTTGGCGCCAGCGGATATTGAGGCTTCTTCTGCTTCGGGGCTTGCCTGCTGTAGTTCGCTTAGTCTCTGGGAGCACAATTGTGTGGGAGAATATGAACAAACCCTCTTTGGAAGACGGGCTGCCCAGGGACGAAGTCCGGAGCATCCGCACTCAGTCCAGGCTCCTCTGATCCGTCCGCATTGGTGTTTGCTGTCAAACTACCGCCGAACGTCCTCTGGGTTCCGGGAACAGCACCACCACGCACGGCACCGCCAAATCGACCGCCTCTACTACCGCCGCCGCCGCCACCGCCACGGCCTCTGCCCCTTCTCCCTGAGCTGGATGATGACGTCTCTGACGGGTTCACCGGCGCGGTTTCGAGGGCTGATGCTGGCTGATCTTGGTTCTGAGGCTGGGGGGCAGAATTCCTGCCGCCACCCCGCCGACCACCACGAGCATTGCCTCTTTCGCCTCTCCCTCGTCCTGGCCTGCCTCTCCGGCCAGGCTGAGAGCCTCCTCTGGCCGACGAATTCGTTTGAGCTTGCGTCTGCGTCTGCGCCGATCCGCCTTCAGACATGGCGGCTTCGCTCGTCGTAGTGAGAGTTTGTTGATGAGTTGATGAAATCGTGACTGCGCTTTTTGAAATACAGCGTCTTCGTACGGGTGCTGCCAGACTAGGCGGCAAGAAAAAGTATTAACTGGCCTTACGCCCTCTCGAAGAAAAGCGAACGTGAAGGGAATAGAGTGAGCTGTAAGTTTGGAGGATCGCCCTTTCACTGGG